CGTGCTAAGTATTTCTGCAACTGTATAGCTCAGGAAGTCCATTCGGTCGACGGTGCCTATTTTCGTGGTCCGCGGCTCCGTCTCTCGGGTCACATTATCTCATCCATCCGTCGTCCATCACAGTTCAACACACCTCACTCACTCACTCACTCACGCTGGATAGCTCGGATATCAACACATGGATCCCGTTTCATCCAATAACGTGTTATGTGACCACTCCTGTGCTCCGTCCAACCGCCCTCTTCCTTGCAAGTTGTATCGGAGCTAAGCTACTGATTCATTACAAATCCCGCCCGCGGCCTGCGCATTCTTCCCCGTTCCAGGCTCCATCGGCCAGGCTCCACCCTGGTCATTAACTACTGGAACTATTTTTTTCCTTCAGGGCAATATCGACCGAAAGCTGTGTGACTGAGTTAACTAACTTTCTGACCTTCCTCAAACGTGTCTTTCTCTCCATGTATTGTCTGCTCCTTTACATACCTACTTTCTGAGCAGCATCACAGCGCCCTGTCACCTTGGTTACCAGGTTGCCATGAGATGGACTGGTTGCTAGACAGCCGCGTACTGCTGCCATGACGTGTCGCGGACGCGGATTGGATTGAGACATTGGGATGCGAGCTGCTCGCAACTCGAAACTCTCCTCCTGTCATTTAGCGGTTCGGGCTTCACGAGCGTCCAGGAGGAACAAAAAACGGGATAGATCGTGATAACTTTTTGAGTTGCAAGAGCGTACATACCGTTACAAACGATATCGGTGAACGGACCCACGAGCAAACGTGTTGCGATTAGATTCATAACAAAGCCACATGGAGAAGCAATCCCGCCGGCCTCACGCGAAGGGGAAGGCACCCGTGCGTGGACCAGGTAGGCCCACCCGGGCGGGGCTGGCATCCAGATCCCGATCGGGCCGAGGCCGCGGGCAGGAACCCGAGCGCGCAACTCCTGAGGCGCTTAGTGAAGTGCCGCTCGTTTATCGCGATATGCTGGCGGAAGCTGGTGCTGGTGCGACGGGGACCTCGGGACAGTCCGGGTCTTTGGTTCGTCCTGGTGATGATAGGCCGGTGAAGAGAAGGAGGGTTGGGGAAAAGAGGGCTGGAGGAGTTGAGGCGGTGACAGGGAGAGGAGACGTGGAGGGAGGGGGAGTAGCAGCTGGCGCTAGCAAGCCCGTCCAGACAGTATTTAACGCGGATGCGTCGGATGATGAATCGGAGATGGAGTGGGAGGATGTCGAGGTCGCACTTTTCACACCTTTATCTGGGTCTGCGTCTGGACCAGGGCATGATGGGACTACGGAACAACGGGATGTGGAGCAACAACAAAAGGAAGCTGGGGTGGGGGGGTCAGAAGAGTCGCTGCAGATTACCCTTGAAAGGCCGGCGGAGAAAGGGAAACAGCGCGCTTCTGCTGTGAGGCGGAAACCCGTCACTGGACAAGAGAAGAGGTGGCGACTTGACATTCATAAGATGCACATTTTGTGTCTATTAGTCCATGTGCAACTGAGGAATATGTGGTGCAATGATAATGAAGTCCAGGTTCGCATAGCTTCATCTACGGATTTGTAGCGCTGGATATTAACTGACACGGAATTTTTCTCCCAGAATGTACTGAAGCGGCTTCTCTCTAAGCATACGACCATGTGTCTGAACCCCAAGGAGACTTTACCACAGTTTACGCGCTCGACAACATTTGCAGATGGTCTAAAGCAAGCCAGTGAGACGTTCCGGCGCCGATTCAAAGCCACAGTCCCAGGCATGAAGCGTCCCTATTGGCTCGAGGACTCTAATGAATTGAAGGATCCAACTGTGTGATAAGCCAATAATTTCTACTTTCGTTGAACAACATATCAACAATATAAGAGTAACCCCCCGTGCTAACGAATTCATAGGACCTATTAGATTCTGCTGAGATACTATCGTCTAGAGAAGACTTCCTCCACCAAGCAGTTACCCTGCAAGGATCGAGAGACCTTGGTGCGCAGCTCTTCTGTGCGCTGCTACGAGCTGTAGGCGTGGACGTGCGGCTGGTGTGCTCCCTGCAGGTGCTTCCGTTTACGGGCGTTGCTAAAGGGTTCATGCCGCTGAAACGGGAGCAGGAGTATATCGTTCTCTCTGAAGATGATGGGTCGCCGTCTAGTATTGATGTTGGGCAAAGTTCACCGGCCACTGGTGGCACCGCAAAGGCGCATGATACACCAGCGCCGTCAAGGACGCGGCGTATCGGACAACCCAGGTTTACTTCAAGCCCGGCTCTGACTCCTAAGCCCAGGCCCTCAACTGGTTAGCTAAGACCTTTACGATTTCTTCTCATAGAATCATAATACAGCTACTAACCACAACGGTACAAAAATACATAGCTTTACCGCGAGCATTTGCGGAGTCGCCCTTCCCTATATTCTGGGTCGAAGTATTCAATGAAGCGATGCAGAAATGGGTCCCTGTCGACCCAGTCGTGACAAATACGGTGGGAAAACCTTCTAAATTTGAACCCCCCGCCAGCGACCGTTACAATAACATGAGTTACGTCGTCGCTTTCGAAGACGACATGTCCGCCCGTGACGTTACAAAACGCTACACGAAATCTTTCAACTCCAAAACAAGGAAGCAGCGTGTCGAATCCACCAAGGACGGTGAGGAATGGTGGGCGCGGACGATGGCCTTCTTTGAGAAGCCGTTCCCGGATGATAGAGACCAGGTAGAAATCGGCGAATTGACGGCGAAAGCTGCGGCGGAAATGATGCCGAGGAATGTACAGGATTTCAAGGACCATCCTGTTTATGCATTGGAGAGACATCTGCGGAGGAATGAAGTAATATATCCTAAGAGAGAGATTGGGAAGGTTGGGCTGAGTAAAATATCTCCCAGCAAGAAAAATCCGCCGCTGGAATCTGTCTACCGACGCGGGGATGTGCACCTCGTGAAAAGTGCGGATGGGTGGTACCGAAATGGTAGGGAAGTGAAGGTTGGAGAACAGCCTTTGAAAAGGGTTCGAGTTTTGCGGTCCACAGGAAGAGGTATTGGTCATCGCGAAGAGCTATCAGATTACGAGGAGGAGGCTCAAGAGATTCCGATGTATTCCATCCACCAAACGGATCTGTACAAGCCGCCACCCGTCGTCGAGAATCGTGTGACGAAGAATGTCTACGGTAATATCGATGTGTATACGCCGAGCATGGTTCCAGAAGGTGGCTTTCATCTTAGGCACACAGAAGCGGCGGCCGCAGCGAGGGTTCTGGGCATCGACTATGCCGATGCGGTGACTGGGTTCCAGTTCAAAGGCAGACATGGCACGGCCGTTGTGCAGGGCATTGTTGCGTCTGTTGAGTATCGTGAGGCTCTTTATGCTGTTCTCGACGCGTTGGATGATGAGCGTGTTCAGGCTGAACACGAGAAACGTTCGGCGGAGGCGTTGGCGATGTGGAAGTTGCTCTTGCTGAAGTTGAGGGTTGCAGAGCGGGTGAGGAGTTACGCTTTTGAGGGGGAAGGGGATGAAGAAGATGAGGATAAGGAGGGAGAAATGGTTCCTGATGATGATGGTAATATTGAAGGAGGCGGAGGTTTTATTCGTGAAAGTGGCCAGGCAGACGTCGTGCCTCTTCAGGAGGGTTTCTCTGACTTTGATAGCCCACTCGAGGCTGGTGGCTTCCTTCCTGAAGGGATTAAGGGAGAGGAGAACCATTCGACATTGAACGGGGGGTTTTTACAATCTAGCACCGTGCCGGATGAACCAGGTCCTTCCAGACCTGCCACAGGTTTAGGAAGTACCTCTCTCCGATCCAAAGGCAGATCGCGATATACCCTAATTGTGACCAAAGCTAAAAATGATACATCATCTACGAGCAACCAGCAACAGCCCATGCACAATCAGCCTACTTCTGTGGAGCCATGCGTTTCTCAACTTGATATCTCCCCCACTGCAACGCCATTGCGTACACACATCGCATGGCAACCACAGGGCCAGCAATCCTCTACCGCTCAGCTCCAGCAGCAGGAACAACACCTCACTGCAACCGCAACAGCAGGCTCGCCCACAGCCCATATCGCGTTCTCCTCCGCTGGCAGTGACCAGTGCAGCGTCGAGGAGATCTGCAGGGTGCCAGACCTCGTGCATGAAGGGGAGTCTGACAGTGAGATTGACCAGAGCTCGATGCTCTCGCATGATCCTGAGGATGAGGATGCGGAGCCGGAGTGGTTGCTTTCCGACTGATATAATAATGAACTCTCATCTCTCTCACTTTGTTCAGCTTCGCATATTCGAGCAGGTTTTCTACTTTGTTGTGTAAATAAGTAATCATATGTATATGTCCCCCTTTGCTGTTGCTTCTATGTTTATGTGAGTTGGGATGTTGCATTGGGGATTGGGATATAAGATGCTCTATGACGGGCTTGCAATTTTCAGGACAAAAGAATGCGCTCCATATACCCTACTCTACCTGATTGTTTCTATTCCTGCTTTCCATCATCAAGTTGCGGAAAATCGCAACATTGGCTCAAGGTTGATTATATACATGGTGTTTGTCGCACAGAACTCAAGCCTCTCGCTCAGTGCGTGTGCGTGGAAAGACGCAGTATCAGAAGACTGTATAAGTTAACTAACTAGTGAGACCGCATAGTTTCATTTTCTGAATGAACGATGGATGACCTGCGTGTACTCCAACCTCATTTCTATCCGAATGGCAGCCCAACCCTAGAAGTAATCTCTCGATATCCATCGTACCCAGTTTGCAAATCAGTTAGATCGTCCTGAAGAATGTGGAGCGATCATGGTGGTACAGAGTAGAACTTTTTTGTTTCCTTCAGCGATCTTGATTGCTTACGTCATACACGCGTCCGTCGCGTCCAACCTCGCAAATCACATGATCCAGGCATCGACGACTTCCTCAAGTTCCTTGACATTTCTCACAGGATGAAATTGACAACTCCTTTCAGCGCAGGGAGTGCTTTTGCTTTTTCTATTTTGTTTTCCCATTCTTTTTATTGTCGAAAAGAAAAGTAAAAGAAAGGATGCCGCCAAAAACAAACACTCTTCAAAACTCGAACCGACTCGATAAACTCAGCAAACTCGACAAGCCCCTTCGCAAGACAAGCAAGCAGACGACTAGGCAAGAGGCAAGACGAGCACGACCGCTGAGTAGATCAAGAATTGATCGTGAGCGGCAGTATAGGCTGGCCTTAGGGGGAAACACGCGCAACCAGAAGACCCTGACCCAGATTGATTTTGTGAAACAGGCGCAAGCATTACTAGCTCGTGGGGATAAGGATGAAGATGATGATTTGGAGCTAGAGTATATTGGTGGAGAGACCTGGGATGGAGATTATGAGGTCCCAGTTCAATCGTCAAAACGGAGAAAGAGAAATGGGAATGGGCGGAGGGCCAATACTGGACAAAAGTTCGGGAGTGATCTTGGTGGAAGGAAGCAGGTAGATGAAACTGATGGATCAGATGATGATAAAACCTTGACTCAGATGGGATATGTTACCGGTTGGCAGAATGATGGAAGAAGCCACAACATGCATGCAGGGCTGGGTAAGAGGAAGGGTGTGGATCAAATGGAGAATATTGGAAAGGAGCCGAAAGCGAAAATGTGTGACGGAACTCTTCAGGAGTCGAGAGCAAACTGCGACAACCGGACGGGCACGCAAGGCAGGAAAAGGAAACTCTCAGAGGTCAATTCTAAATGCCACTCCTCACAAATTGTTCCTCCTTCGTCCCTCAATCTGGGAGGCAATTCATCGGCACGAACACCAGTGACACCGCGGAAACCAATTAATCGGGTGGTTCCTTCATCACAGTCGCCAGACAGTCCTGCTCTCATATTACTCCCATGCTCATTGAAGGAATCTCCGCCGAAATTTCCCCTTGCTCCACTTTCTCACAATGTAACGCCGAGGAAAACTGCACCTCCCTCGAAGGGTGAGTATATGACCCCCATCTGTGACTCGCAACTGGCACAATACGAAATCCCCGTGTCACCTTTCAACTCCGCTAGTACTGGTTCCCCTAACCGGTGTTATGAAGAAGAATCAGTAATCGAACTTAGGTCCACACATACTACATCTCCTCCATTTGCGCCCGAAAAGGACTCCGATAAAAAGCTCTCAAAATCACCCCATAGTATAGCAAAGCAAACAACGCCAAAGGACCAAAAGACTGAACCGGGTGACCCTGACACGATCTCTTTTGACGCAGAAAAATCTAAGAAAAGAGTGATATATGAAACGGACGCAGAGACAGAGGACGAGGAAATCCACCTTTCATGCAAAGAACACCATTCCTGGCGGACTCAAACTCAAGTCATTCATGATTCCAGTTCGAGATCGCGCAATGATGATTATTATGATGATTACCCTCTGAATGAGCTCCCAACCCAAGCCCGCAATTCAGACCAGGAAACATGCGACACCCTTCCAAAAAATATACTTGACTCCGAGGCGTCCATGCTCTATTACCGCAAGCCCATGAGTTTATCATTTGAGCCAGGATCTGAGCTAGCCAATATTAATACACAGAGGCTGGCGGAGTTATTTCCAGCCGCTGAGACAGAATATGAGAAATGTGTAATCCCCCACCTTTCTACCATTCCCGAAAAACACGAAGCAGAAGAGGATAGCGTAGATCACGCTTCTACAACAAGGCCCACCAAGAATAGTAGTACGAACCATATCTCTAATTCACCACGGCGTCAACCTCCTCTGAACACTACAGCGGAGCGAAGTATCTCACCGCCCTCGTCGCCACCCGTCGTGCTAGTTGAGTCCTCACAGCAGAGTGACATGGGAGATGCAGATCCGAACCATACGGCTTACATTGATTCACAAAACGATTGCCAGTGCCTAGTTACTACAAGTCAATTGTTGACAGATAGCATGATGGAAAGCGTTTCCGGCCCATCAATGTGGATGTCCAGCCATGATCCCTCCCAGGAGGAGTACCAGGATACGGCCGAGACGTAAGGGTTAGATTTTGCAGCATACTTTTTATCTTCTCGTGTAGGATTGCTGGTGCGCCCGAGTTACATCAATGTCCTCGTAAACTGTATTTTTTTAATTGGGATAAACCGACTACGGAATTTGGGGCTCTGGGATTATATTGTCGTTTTAATTTGAGTTAATTACTTAGATACCTATACTTAATTTGCAGGTAATTTGCAGGTTGTGTCGGATTTTTATACTACTCGAGGCACGGATCGTCATCACGTGGGATGCCATTGAGGATCCTCCAGTCTCCCGCAGTTACATCGTCACTCCAAGCCAACATTCTGGGTCTACGCAAGAGACGACCTTCCTCGATTGCCAAGCTGCGAGAGCATCAACATTTTGACCGTAATGATATCTAACCTGAGTTAACTAACTGGAGGTTTAACAACTCCCACCTCGAATACCCGATACTTATCTTCAGCCCGTCAAGCACCAACCCGACTCATGAAACCGCCACAATGGACATAGCATACGACCATATCCAAGAGGAAATCCTCACCACTCACGACGCCAATAACCAGGAAAATGAGTCTTCAAACCAGGAAGCTGGCTCGAACAACGCTGACACATCTGCTCAATCGTCCCAACGTCCCAATCTTGACTTAGGTGCCGAATTCCAAGAGACATTCCGTGCTTTTTCCTCAAACCGCTGGGGTGCTCGACTAGGAGGCCTCTGGGGTAATGTTCGCAAACAGGGAGAAACCTATTACCAAGGGGCCCGTCAGGAGTACGAGGCCGTGAGCGAAGAGGCAATCAAAGGGTTTACGGACTTGAGGGCTACTATCGTTGGGCGGACGAGAGGGCTGTCGCTAGGAGGAGCATTGGGAAGTGGAGATGGCAGTGATGAGATAGGAGAAAAAGGGAAAGATAAGGCAAATGAAAATGATATGGAGGGCTCTACCGTTGCATCTACGTCATCAAGTGAAAAAAATGACAAGGTTGATGATGAACCGGATGGGGAAGGGATAATCTCTCGCTTCCGCAGCGAGGCTGCGAAGCGCTTAAAGGATATCGAGAAGGCGGAGGATGCGGCAGATGAGGCGCTACTTCGTTTCGGGACCAATATCCGGAATTTCCTTCGTGATGCTGTGAGCATTGCACCCCCTGAAGATGCCAAAGATAATAAGACGGTTCTTTTCGAGAGTAAGGACGTTGATGGGAAAAGAGTTATCCATACTACGCGATTTGAGGCACAGCTTCATGCTATCCATTCGAACATTGATCAGTTATCGCAGGATCCTGTTAGCGATGAGTGGTCCTGCTGGAAGAGCGAGTTTAAGGTTGATAGCAAGACTAGTGAGATTGCCCACGATCTAGAGGCATATCCCGAGCTGCGGAGGGCGATGGAAAGCCTTGTTCCTGAGAAGGTTGAGTATGCTGATTTCTGGTGCCGGTATTACTTCTTCCGTCTGGTTATTGAAACGGAGGAACAAAGACGGAAGGAAATGCTGAAAGGTCTGTTCGCTTATTCACATGGTGTTTACTATATCTTCTTACAGTTGCCATCTTCCTAACACACTGAAACAGGTGCATCCACTGTCGATGACGAGGAAGTGGCCTGGGACGAAGATTCTGACTCTGAATCTGGCTCCCCATCTACCCCCCAAGTTACCATCGACCAAGCTGGTGGCACTAGTCCCCCGTCAGAGTCTCCGACTTCGATGAACGCCTCCCGACTATCATCCGGTAACGAGACGCTAAAGGCTACTGAGCACCGCAGTTCGAATGACCAACAATCACAGGCTGACAGTGACGCCAGCTACGACCTTGTCAGTGGCGCCACAAGTCGCGCTCCCAGCAGTCCCCGGCAGCGAGAGAAATCAGCATCCACTTCTGCTGCTAAGCCCGATGACGATAGTGACGAGGAAGATTGGGAGTGAACGAAAGAGATTGCTGTTTGTCCCTGGAATATGAGCACGCGACATGTTGTTTTGATATTGAGCTCAGTGGACGTGTCTGATCGTACATGTCTTTCCTTGGTTTTAATAGCCTGCCAGGCTGGTTACTCCTGCCACAGTGGGATATGACCCTTTCTGGATTCTACCCCATTACGACAGTATTATTCTGCTCACGGAGACCATTTATGTGTTTTGATTAAGATCTCCTGTCAGTGGAAATTATTTTTTGTTGCGTCTTGGTTTTCTCACCTTTCAGTTACCCTGTGCCCTGCCTGTGCCCTTACTATATCCCCACTAAATCTACACCTGGCGTGTTACTTTTTTTTACAGTTGTAATCTGGGCATCGGCGTTGTGTGTCCTTTCTTTGATTCCTTTCGAGATTTTTCATGTAATGTATCTTCTGGAACGTTGCTGCATCGGGCGTAGAGTTTCTGGGTTTTCCGCAATTTGATTACTTTTTATCCCCTTCATTTCATGTTCCCTTCATTTGCCCGCGTGGTCTTCGCCTGAATTTTGCTTCTTTTAGTGAACTTCCGAATATTATATGGTTGAGCTGAACCTCGATGGGTCGTTTGAGCTTATGTCTCTTACCACAGTGGCGAAAACTATGGTAAGAAATGTAATTCTATTATGACGGGTAATATCTATCCTATATCACAATGTCTGACCAGCCAGCCAGCCATGCCCACCGTCAAGCTTGATAGATACAACTCTCTCAAGTTCCCTAGTTGTCGAAATACTCAATAAAACACATCTTAAAACTTGTTCCATCTACCAATGATATTAGAAAGAATTTAAGAGTCACATGCAAGTCACCCTAGGAAAGGAAAGATAGGATGCGCTAGGATTCAGAAGAACGATTGCATAAAAACTCGTCTAATTCATCAGTGGATCAATTTCCTTCTATTCTATTTACATAAACCAACCCATCTTACCACCTAACTACCCAACCCTTCCCTTGAAGTCTCTCGTATCGAAGCAGGACTAGCACCTAGCTCTTGATCCGTTTGCCCCGTTTCCGGACGGACCAGTTGACTGCCCTCTCTCCGCTGTAGTTGCTGCCTTCTAAGTATCTCAGGTCGCCAACCCCCGTTACGGGCAGCGCGTATGGATGGTGACTCTGGCGCTGAAGAATCTATGGGATATTCTAGGGGCGTTGTTGAACGACGGGACCTCCTGCGTGAGCCGGGCAGTTGACTTTCAGTAGGCGATCCCGGGTACGTGCCCTTAAGCGGCAGACTCCATTCAGCTGCTACTCTAGTATTCCACGCTACGGGGCTAGGAGATAGCTTTGTAGACCCCTGTTCAAACTCAGCGTCCGCGCCGTTGTATTGGTATTCTTCACCATGCCGTTTCAGAGGGCTTTCGTTATACGGGTCCCAACCCACTTTGCGGCGGGCTTCGGCGCGGACACGTTGGCGATGGTGTTCGTCACCACCTGCGCCGGTTGCGGAGGATTCCTCCAAAAAGAAGTTTAAGAGCTCGTCAGTAATGGAAAGGTGGGATTGTTGTTGGAATTGCTGGAGGGAGGTTAGGCGGAGGAGCGTTTCGAGGAGAGAAAGAGAGGTGCGGATGTGGTTAAAGAGGGGGTTGGAGAGAGTGGGTTGCTGGAGTAGGGGTTGGGAAGATGGCTGGGTTGTCAGTTGTCGATGTGGAGTGGGTGGGAGTGATGGGGCGGGCGATGATTTGTCGTCCCCACGGAGGTGCAATTGTGCGATTTTCTCTGATAGTTGTGGTTCTACGGATATGGAGCATGGCTTGCGAGTTGAGCCTGAGGTTGAAGTTGATGCATCAGCGGGAGACTCCAGGTCGGATTCGGCTTCGGTTTCGGAGTCTGAATCCTCGTTTTCGTCGTGGACCTCAAATGCAATCCATTCGAGATCTAGGCCTCTCGGAAATTTGTATTTCTGAGATTCACTTTGGTCATCTAGGTGAGCGGATGAAGAATCACCTCCCAGAAGTTGTGCGTCAAGATGGGATTGTTCCTCATCCCCTGAGTTTTCACCGGTCTCCTCTTCTTCAAAATCAGTAAAATCGGAGTCCCGTTGATCCATCATACGCCTAGGCGGGATAGCATTGGTGTCCCGTTTCAGAAGTAATATAGGATTGTTCGTTTCTCCCTCACTTCCAATATTAAGAATCTTGCCAGTATCAGCGTAGAATATCTTCGAGATCTCATGGATAGGAATTATCTCTCTGATTCCTGCAAGATCGACATCTTCATAACTTCCCATATTTTCGACATCGGTATGCACGCGGCCATCATCAAGATCTTCAATAATGAGGATTTGGTACGCAAATTCATCTTTCCTGGCCTCTTCACGGATATCTCTCACCTTAGTAAGGTCGTGCTGACGATGTAGATTCCTATAGGATGGAAATATCATATCCATAGATACACGCCGTAATTTAACCCGCGCTTTGTGGATTACCTCTTTCCAAGTAGTGTTTCGGACACTCTCTTCATCCACAGGACGGATGTGCCCTGAAAACAACATGTACACTGATAGCGTAAATGTCGGTCCAATCTGCACAGGCTGTGATGGAGACATGGAGTATTGCGTATCGCCGCTCGTCAAAAATGTACTGGCCTGGAGTAATCGAGATGGTGATACCGTTGAGGGAAGGGATGTTGATAAATTAGCTCCAGAAGTAGTAATGGCGAGGTTAATTAGTGGCACTGCATCCTCAATCCTCTGAAGGAGGTTTCGGATATCCTTGATTATGGATTTTATCTCGCCATCAAGTTTTGTGCGGCCCGTGACTGAGATTGCTCCTTTTCGATATAATTCCTCCACGGACACAGCTTTCGACAGTCGCAGACCAAGGTTTTGAATATCCCACCTCAAAGACTTGGTAAGTGCCAAAGCGGATTCAAGAGAGGTATTACCACGGGCAGCTCTGCAACCAAGTTAATCGTGAGAGCATGAAGCAATCTGAATGAAACTCACATCAATTCGATCATGTCAATGGCCGGGGATATTATCTAATAACAGTTAGATATCAAGCTTCCAACAATTCTCATGTCGAATTATGAAAATAAAAATGTTCAACACCAGTAGAAGGAATCGGAATAAAAAGCTGCGTACTTTTATTTTGCTCTGCAAACGTTCCTGGAGTGTTTGTAGTTCAACTCGCTCGGAATCGCTCACAGTCTGCCTCGTAGTTAGCGGTTGAAACAAAGAGTCGCGGGCACGTAACACAAGCATACCTTCAGCAACTTTGCGGACTGGCGGATGGCATATCCAGCAGTAATGGTAATTCCAGACCTTAACTTAATCAGCAAAACCATCTTCCTTTAGATAAACCGAAATAGCAAAATAGCATTCTTACCGGATCGCATAGTTCATCGCCTGCTGCGTCACCTGTTCAAATCCAATCAGTTGATCTGACCTGGAATTCTGGTAATGGAACTCATGCTTCTTAATACCCTGGAAAGGAACACATCCATCCTGGAAAATAGTCTACTGTAACAATAATCTGTCCTATTATGACTACCCCATTGCAGATGAAGATGGACGTTGAAGGGGAGGAATTCGACGAGGAGAGACTGCTCGACACGGCGTTTTCACGACTCAATATAGGCGCATTTTAGTCTGCCAACACCATGATGACCGGACAACTCCCAACGGACAGATGCATCAGGAGAGTTAGTTTGTTGACATCTTGATAGTGGAAGGGACATTCATGGTCACGTGGTAATTGACGCTTGACGACGTCATCGTCAGACGCGATTAACGCGGAGGGAACCAGCCCGTAATAGTACTAGTTCAGTATGCCTAAAATTCAACCCCCTCGCTGGTGTCAGTTAACTAGTCACCACCCGCTTTCACACCTCATTCTCGAAAAATACACATTTCAATATTTATATTCTGCCTTTCCTTTTTATTGACTCTGGACTTTGTGCTCTTTCCCCGTCACTATGTCGAACAAGCCGCTTGACTCGTGGGAAGATGACCCCGCTGCACAGGACGATAACCTATCACGGCAGACACAGAATCTGAACTTGAATAATCAGCAACAGCAGTCATCCTTCCATCCTGGAGCTTCGACATTCCAGCCAGGGGCTGCCGCGTTCCAATCGAACCAGCAATTCCAACAATACGGATACCAACAGTATGGCCAGGGTTTCCAGCAACAAGGATATGGTAGCTATCAGCAACAGCCATACGGCCAGTATAATCAAGGCTACGTTCAGCAAGGCGGATATGGCCAGGCCTATGGTCAACAATATGGAAGCTACAACCAAAATACTGTAAACCCTCAGCAAGCTCAACAGCAGCAACAATGGCGTCCACAGTCAATTGCTGAACGACCACTACCTGGTGCTCCTGTTGCCGCAAAACAAACTCCGACAGCTGCGAAACCGGCAACTACTACTACCGCTACGCCAGCTGCTCTGCCCCCGAAGGCAAAGGTCTTGTCGATTGGTGGCGATGCTATGAAGTCCAAAACGCCGACCTCATCCTCAGGCGCAACTCCTACCCCTCCTTCCTCCGTCACTCCTGCCAGCGATTTACAAAATTCGAACGGCCCAGCTGCTGTTGCTGCCGCCTCGAAAGTGACCGCTACTAAAGCCATTGAAAAAACGGAGAAGAAATCAGCTAGTAGCGGCAAGACATCGCCTACATCGTCCGGACGGTCTTCTCCTTCACGAGCGGCGGACACCAAGGCTACAGCGCGCGACGCAGATGCAGTCGCCAAAGAACAGGCAGCCGATGTCGATGAAGCTACGCTCAGAGAGATTTATGGTGATAAACGTGAACACATCAACTTGATTTTCATTGGCCATGTTGATGCAGGGAAGTCAACTCTAGGTGGAAGCATCTTGTATGCAACTGGTATGGTGGATGAGCGAACCATGGAAAAATACAAAAGAGAGGCCAAAGAAGCCGGACGTGAGACATGGTATCTTTCATGGGCTTTGGATTTGACAAACGAAGAAAGATCTAAGGGAAAAACTGTAGAAGTTGGACGAGCTTTTTTCAAAACCTCGGGCAATACGCCTGATGGTCCGGTAGAACGTCATTATACTATTCTGGATGCACCTGGCCATAAATCTTTCGTCCCAAACATGATCGGTGGTGCGTCTCAGGCAGACGTGGGAATTCTTGTCATTTCCGCGAGAAAGGGTGAATACGAAACCGGTTTCGAGCGAGGTGGTCAAACCCGCGAGCATGCATTGCTGGCCCGAAACTCGGGTGTGAAAAAGCTGATAGTCGCTGTGAACAAAATGGATGACCCAACTGTTGAATGGAGCAAAGCACGATACGATGAATGTACAACGAAGATTGGCAAATTCCTTCAAGGCATGGGTTATGCCAAGGCAGATCTCCACTTCATGCCCATCTCCGCGCAGAAGACTATTGGCATTGATAAGCCTGTTCCCAAGGAGCTAGCACCTTGGTTTGAAGGCCCTGGCCTTCTTGATTTCCTCCACAACATGAAAATGCCTGAACGTAAGATCAATGCACCCTTCATGATGCCAGTCAGCGCAAAGTACCGGGATATGGGCACGGTTGTTGAAGGACGAATTGAGTCCGGCGTAATAAAGAAGGGCTCCAGCTATATCATGATGCCCAACCACGAGGAAGTCACTGTTACTGCGCTGTACGGTGAGACGGAAGAGGAGATTAATACGGCGACTTGTGGCGATCAAGTCCGTGTTCGACTTCGGGGTGTTGAGGAAGAAGATATCATGCCAGGATTTGTATTGTGCTCTCCCAAAAGGCCTGTGCACTGCGTCTCCGCTTTCGAGGCCAAAATCAGAATTCTAGATCTCAAGAGCATTCTCACCGCCGGCTTCAACTGCGTCCTCCATGTGCACGCCGCCATCGAAGAGGTGACCTTCGCTGCGCTGCTTCACAAACTCGAGAAAGATACAGGCAGGAAGAGTAAGAAACCACCTCCATTTGCCAGCAAGGGCCAAACCATCATTGCTCGATTAGAAACCATTGGCGGAGCTGGAGCTGTTTGTGTTGAGCGATTTGAAGACTATAACCAGCTCGGGCGGTTCACACTCCGTGATCAGGTAAATAACTCCAATAGCTACGCATTTTCTAGCGTCGTCAGTTGAAATACCGCTGACCTATGCTTTACAGGGACAAACCATCGCAATTGGCATGATCACCAAGCTGATTACGAACGAGCCGGCGGCGACGGCGTAACGTAGAATCGTAAGTCAAAAGTGATACTTATTTATTTTTTGTTGGGTTTTCTCGTCGGGATGTCCACTACTAGCGGATAGCTGAAGAAAAGGATGGATGTTATTCATGACTGGGAAATGCATTCAATGTGGTGGCCCATGGGAATATGCATTTGATATCATGACATGACCAGCTTTTCGGCAATTCCATGATTCCACTTTGTCAGTTTTGCTTTATATAGGTAATCTTCCAACAAATAAATATGGGCCGGGCAGTAGAATAAGGATATATAAAATGGTGGTTGTGTCACAGGACAGCTTGTTTAATCACACACTTTGCTCAAAATCATCACATCATGGCTTGCATTTATATTCCGTAACCGCCCATATAGAACTTTTTCCATAGTATTGAAAAACAAAAAAGAACACCCAACGCCCTCGATGCTATCCCGAATTCCCAAGTGACCTAGCACGTACACCATGCAAAATAACGATGCCCAGAAATAAATGCCAACAATGAAGAGGAGGAAGCCATCATCGCCTTCTCTTCGAAACCACCTTCGTGAACCCATCGTCATCGACGATCGGCTCAGGCAAGAACTTTCCCCGCTCCCATTGACCGTCAATTGCCCTCCGTGTTTCATTCGGGGACTCACGTTTCGGGGCTTCAGTTTGTGGGGAGTAATTCCTCGATGTCATGACCGCCGCCGGCGCATCCTCCATCTCAACGTCATCCGCCCAATCCCCAATATCACTTTCATCATCATCATCTTCTTCTTCTTCCTCGTCCTCGTCCTCCGTGCCTTCACCATTGTCATTCCCATCTCCATCGCCATTAACCTCCACTTTCCTGAACGCTCCAACAGTAGTACCAGCACCTCCCTTCACCTTCCACTCCTCCCACATCCTCGTCACCCTCGTAAAATCCCCCATCTGCGTTTCCATTCTGACTTCCATGATCCTACGCCCAATCTCGCCTGCACTCTCATCATCCACAACAACATCAAATTCGTCATTCATAACTTGTATCAGGACATCTTCAATGTCTTCGGCGTCGGTCTCCGGCCGGTCCACGAAGAGGTCTGAGATGGCGCCGCAGAGCCAATCGCGTTTGTCGCTGGAGGAGGGCCCGCCCCAGGAGCTTTGCACGGCGAGGTTGAGCGCTGGCCAAGAATTGAGAATCAGGGTAATGCCTAAATCAAACTGGGTAGAAGATTGTTTATTCCCTGCTTGTTCTCGTTGCTTCTCGATTGGATTTTGGGTTGCGGAGGTGGTCGAAATGCTGGCCATGGTTACAGGTGAACGGAATGGGGGATATGATGAAAGCGTTGACAGAATATTATTCTTTTATTGCGGTAAAATATTGAAATAAGGTTCGATGAGAAGAGAATAAATCGGCTACTTCTAGGTGCTGGGCAATGAGAGCATGTAAATATTTTGTCTAGATGATGCTGAATTCGCGGGGTTGGGAAAAATATTTTGGCTCGGACTTTTTTTTTTTTTTTTTACACAATTCTAGCTTCGGGTAACTAGTGTGTTGCCAAGACTAGTGACCTCATCTATCAATGGCGTATATTTTCGAGCACGAGCGTGTTTGAAAGAATCCATTCTTCTATCTTCATTCCCTGATGGTATTTACAGTTATTGAACCGCGCATTGATCAGAAACTCGCCCGACAGAACCTAGACAAAGTTGAAAAGTAATGCTCATAATATCGGGATTTTTTTTTCTTTTCCAGAGTCAAGGTCTATAACCACTAAATTCTATTTCAGCACTGCACCCCCCCAGAGCATTAAGCCTCGTCTTAGAATCCAAATCCCGGATTTCCTGTATGGGCTCCATGCTGAAGTCATAGGCAATTAGGATGATCATGATATGATAATGGTATCAGGGCAATTACCCCTGTAATCCTAGGTTAGCTAACTCTGCTTATTCCGCTTGCCTTGAAGGATCCTATAAGATACATCCTAGAGTAAGTCATTTCGTGCACTGGGAGCCGTGACATTGGAGGGAAGTGATTCTGTGCTATGATTATACTCGTTCCCAAGCTCCTTGCAATTGATTTTGTATCCAGGTCTAGCTGGCTTTGTGGAGAGGTTCCGAAGTGCAGTTAAGCCAACTTGGCCTTGAAAATACTTGCTGGCATATTTTACTTTGGTCTGCTCAGCAAACTGCAGATACATCTGTATATCACACTCTGGGCCAAGCATCAATGCGTCAATTAGGGAACTTCTCAGAGGTTATTCCGCCCGTCAAATCAGCTAGTTCAATCCGAATACTTGAACCAATTACGCCGTTCGGACATCGCTCGTAAAGACCTTCAAAATCGCAAAGGAGAAATTTGTAGAGTGTAACACAACTGTCGAGAACGGCGAGAAGTCTGCTTGCTCAGGCAAACGGAAAGTAGTATTTCGGGTGATCATTACCAGAAGATAGAATATGTCGACTTTGTCATTGCGGAAAGAGGTCGGCGTTTTCCAGGTATTGATCGATATCCACGCAGAGAAAAACATTGCGATTTATTCAAAGACATAGGTATTGGGAAGAGATGAACCATCTTCCACCTGATGTGCTGGAACGCACTCTCTGCGAGGCCGAAAAGTATGCTACTATCTTAAGGTCGACCCTACCGAAGTATTGATCATTTTAAAGAGATGGCGATGGCTGGCACTTTTGTTTGACTCCGTATTGTCTAACACATCCAATTGATGGTAGTTGTTGCTAGAGTCTCAGTGTCCGCCTAATTGATGCTGCTGGCCTGGGTTGCATCCGTCCTGGATAATCCAGCATTCCGGAGACATTTTGCACATCCACAAGCGTAATGAAGCACACCTGTTTCCAAATCGTTAGATTTCAAATAGGATAATGGTATGCTTTGGAGACAGAACATCTATATCACATGTCGATCTTATCAAAATATGGAGCCTTCCATTCCTTCCGCATTCACTCACGAGAGATAGCCCCGTTCCTTGTTGTACTGTACTTAAAGATCTTCTGTGGAAGCGACATCCATTATTAGCATCAATTTTAGTGGTAAGAGCTTTCTAACTGATGTTAAGCTAACGAGAATTAGAATGTCGGGGATGTAACTTCTAACGGCGAAGTTAATGCTTCGTTGGAAGGCGGCTGTTGATGCTACATTGCGGGCGTCAGCTTTCAAATGTGAGCCTTTCCCACTTCACTAGCCGTTATATTCGCTGGCCGTGCACAGCTTCCACTCATTGAGAGAGTAAAACAGAAAGGGGATGCAGATCGCCTGCAAAGGCGAAAGTGTTGTTCTCAGGACCCTGCGCAGGACCCCTAAAACAATAGCTCACAATGCGTAGTACGAGTATGTTTGAAGTGGTGGAAGCCAACAATTGGAACGTTGATAGTTTGGAACACCAAAACACAATTCATGAGTTTCATCGCGTTAGCAAGAGGCAAAGAAGAGCATCCCGCTTTGATGTTCGTAGTGCTACTCCTTGTGCTGTGAAGCTCATCCTCGCGGATGGAGCAAACAACGTGGTTAAATAAATTAAAGTTTGCAACCGCATGTGAACTGGGAAATAGTTATGACATCATCCTCTGCGGAAGCGCCGCTTCGAATTGCGCAACCATAGTATGAAGAAATTATCTTGTGGTTTTCTTTTCTTTTGCACTCACTCCTCTTCCACAATCAACTCGACTTTTGCAAGAGATGGAGGTCACCATCAACTTTCAAGCTATTGAAATCATTCATTCTATTCTCAATTGGACGAAAATAAAAACTTCCTGCGGACCTGCTGGTGATGCCTTTTAACACACTGTCTGTTGGTGTTGCGGTAACACCCACTGTCATTTCAACACTCCTAACCCATGTATTCAAGCCTCACTTACCAATCTCTCCATAAATTTCTTTACATTAGGTATTTGGACTGACAATAGGTCTAGTATTCAAATCGTAAAAAACATCGGTCGAAGCCTACGGCACGCATCTCGTACCATGAAGGTCTTCATATCATTCGCCAATTCCTATTCTACTCCTCTCTCCATACCGTTGAAGACCTACAGGTTTTCACGTCCCAGTCGGTCCCTAGTCCTAGGTGGGTGAAGGTAGACAAGCTTCGAGTTCCCGAGGACCATCTTGCATCGGCAGCGGACCTCATTATTATTCAACTTGGCTCGGAAGGCCTATCACAGGTCGGTGGCAACAAATGGTGGAGATGGCGGGGAAAAAATTCCTCACTTGAAGGGGAGTGGGTAGAAATGCAACACGATTTTGTCGAACGTCAGCGGAAGGGTGTTCGTTCCAATCGCGTGATGTTGTACATACACGGGGGAGCATACTATTTTGGGAGCCCGAATTCACATCGATATCAAATACAGAGGCATGCAAGGAAGTTAAAAGCAAGGGTTTTTGTTCGGTAGGTCCATGCAAACTTGTAATTTTACAAAGCAGCATATACTAACCTGCTGCCAGTAAGTTCGATATCTTCTGAGAGCGTTTTCGCGGACCAAGGTGTACAAACACATAAATTCTGACAATGAACAGCCGCATATCGCTTGGCTCCACAGTTTCCCTTCCCGTGTGCTTTGCAAGATTGCCTAGCAGCATATTTATATCTTTTAAGCATGTATAAGCCGTCAGAAATCATAATAGCTGGCGACTCCGCAGGGGGTGGAATCGCACTGTCGTCAGTGATTCATCTCTATATTTACTCCCATCCATAACTAACATTTCAGCTAGTATCCTGGTGACATTGCGAGACCAAAGAATGCCATTACCTGCGGGTGCTATCCTAATGTCTCCATGGGTTGATTTAACGCACTCTTTTCCATCGGCGTCTGGTGACGGACATGGGGATTATGTGCCTTCCTACGGCTTCATCCATCGTCCTTCTCTTTCGTGGCCTCCTCCGAACACCGACGAGATAGATACAATTATGAAGGCTGAGGAAACACGAGTTAATGGTGGTTCACGTACTTCAAGCTCTGTCCACGGCCATGACAAGAGTACGAAAGCCGCCAGACGAAGTTTCCGTGGCGTGACGTCGTTGACACATAGCAAAGAAACCTCTGTGGGACATCGATCTGACACTTCTTCAATATACGAACCTCATGAGATATTCCATAATCGAAATCGTACCCTAAAGGTCGAAATCGATGGACAGCTCGTTGAACTTAAGGACCAGATCCACATGTACACCACCAATGAACTGCTCTCACATCCCCTTGTTTCTCCTGTTCTCCAGCCATCATTGGGCGGTTTGCCTCCCATGCTGATCCTAACGGGAGGCGCGGAGCTCCTTCGTGATGAGCAAATTTACCTGGCCCACAAAGCTGCTGACCCAGCTTGCTTCCTACCGAGCGAGGAATACCTGGACCGCCACGATCCCAGCCGCCAGACTGTAAATAAATTCCCGCCCACATTCGTCCAACTTCAGGTGTGGGATGATCTTTGTCATGTTGCCCCTACTCTGAGCTTCACACGCCCAGCAAAATATATGTTTCGATCAATTGCCCAATTCGGAGCTTGGTCATTGGCTAGAGCACAACAGGCAAGCATTGACATTCCCTATTATGCATCTGAAGTTTCGTCAAGTGACGTTGATAGTTCGCATACATCAGCTCAAAAAAGCGCAACACCCAGCCCATATTCAGGCCTCATGGTGATTGGGAAGGCTGGCGATCCTCTCCCACAATTCGAGGACTACATGATTCGTCAACGGGTGGATGGCGACGGTAACATATATCCCTTGGCAGCGCGATCCCACTTTGCTGCCTTACAAATGTTGCCTGAAGAGATTGGCGTACCCAAGCCCGGCCCAGTGCTAAAGTGGCTGCGAGCCAAGGAGGAATGGGATACGAAGTTTGCAAAGCAGAAATCCGCGGTGCAACGGCAAAGGCTGCAAGAGATTCAGCAGGGGGTTGGCGTATTCCGCTATGGTGAATATCCTCCACTAAGTTCGTTAGCATCGAGAAAGGACATATCTGTCGCCTACGAAGAGGAAAAATACAAGAAGAGCCATGGTATGTGGCTGTGGAGCCTCATAGCAAACAAACATGATACGGCGGCTCTTGCAAAAGCACAAACAGTGGGAGAAGCGGATATCCGTGTTGGTCCACAACCCAGTTTGCACAAATTGCCCTCCAGAAGGTATTCGCTCCGCAATCAAGTTTTGCCTCATGTCAAACGAAAACATAGGCATTCCCATCAGGAACGCACAGTATCAGATCTTGGCCAAGCGGCCGAATCCATGCCAGTTCTTGAGCCTCCCCCACGCTCGAGGAAACGATGCGACCCGCAATTCACCAGTTCAGGCTGTGACCCGACAACTCCCAACCAACCTCCACCCGAGGAATTCCAGCTAGGATTATTGGCAGGTCCGCAGTTTCTCAATCACGACGGCAGACGACCCTCATCCATCTACACGGATGACGCGAGTGAGAGGTCAATAAATGATGCGGATGGTGTGATTTCGCCCCTCTTTAGAAGATCGAGGCCAGATGGTGAATTTAAAACTCAATGTGAGACCCCGAGTGTTGGGACAAATCCTGACCCATTTACGCCCGAACAGAATGACCTGCAAAGCACTAGCGATCCTTCTGGCGTTGATAGGAATGAAAAAACCACGCCCGTTGACGACCAGTTGCCTGTTAAAGAGGACACCGAGCTACGGGGCGACGCCCGCGGGGATACTGCCCAGGGGTGCAACCCCAGCAAACTCAAGAAATTGAAGTATGACTTCGAATTTGACGAGTAATATCTTTAGACATTGGGGCCATGATATTTCCCAGGTAGAGATTTCATCGCGCTTTTCTCAAAAGCAAAAGCGACTCTTAGTATAATACCAGGCCAAGGCAGGGCTCACAAAGCCATGTTGTTTTACCTAGGGACTTGTTCTTGTTTTACACTCATTCATTCTTATTCTCTTGCTTTCGTCTCTCCCCTTTCGTTTTCTGCCGTTTATTTCTCGCATGGTACGGGTATTGCTGTAGTTCACAATTTTTATTTCTTTTTCATTCCCTTTTGAGAGCCATGCTATTTATTGATCGCTATTTTCGGAGTTGGAGTGGACTATTGAGCTGCGGGTATCGTATTCAGGTCTATGTAAACGAGATATTAGCTAGCCGAAGAGACCTTCGCAGAAGGCCTCGTTGTCACTATGTTTGAGACAATGACATGACGAAATGTGATTATAAAAATACAAATTATTTACCAACAAGAACGGCTGTATTCTGTTATCGCCATTCCAACCCAACCTTGCGCACAATTTGCTCGGCGACATTCATAAACGCATTTCTCCTCGTGCTTTGCTGGTCGCTCTCTTCCGCTACAACTGTGGGATATCCCCTATCCGCATCTTCACACACTCGCGCATCAAGCGGAATGTCACCCAAGAAGTTTATCCCGAGCCGTTTACAAGCTGCCACCACCCCACCACCATTGTGTAATTCAAAACCATGCGCGTGCCCCGCCTCTAGATCATCACTAGGGGGCAGCGACAGTCCTCTCCTGGAGAATATCTTAGTCTCCTTGCCGCAATGTGGGCAGGCAAAATACGCCATGTTCCTAACCATGCCCAAGACGGGAACATGCAACTTTTCAAACAAGCCAAACCCTCGCACTGCGTCACGTAGAGCAATGTCCTGAGGCGTTGATACGATTACGGCTCCGTCGAGAATAATTTCCTGGCCAATGGTAAGTTGTACGTCGCCCGTCCCTGGAGGCAGGTCGAGGATGAGGATGTCGAGAGGACCCCAGGATACCGAGTGTAGAAGCTGATGCATTGCTTTGGTAACCATCAGGCCACGCCACGATATGGGAGTTGTATCCATTAGGGGTGAGGTTGGATCGTCTGTAAGATGTTTGGCGTCGGCAGGAGGAGGAGGAAGGAGATAGCCCATTGACATGGATCTGAGGCCGTAATTCGTAAGCGGGATGAGACAATTATCTGAAGTTTTAGAAACATAGTTAATCTGCATTAGTCTAGTAGATCAAATTGATCTCAGGGGATTACAAAGGGTCATACTTTCGTCAAGGCGCGGTTCTCCAGATAAGTTCAGGAGGGTCGGTATGGAAGGGCCAAAAATGTCGGTGTCGAGAATTCCGGTACGAATACCCCGACGGGCCATAGCCAGAGCAATATTTACTGTAAATATACTCAGCTAATTGTTCCCTAGGAACAAAACGTACCCCAACAGTGTGGCGCACCAGCAATTGTGGACTTTCCTACTCCCCCCTTAGCGGAAGAGACAGCAACAACCTTGTTGACATCCCGAATTTTCCTCTTTTCTGGGAGACCTCGTCGACGAGGGAACGATGGAGGAGTTCCAGATCGGGGCAAGCCCTACTTATTACATCAGAATCGGACAAGATAATATTAAGAACATGAAAGATGTACCAGCGGATTGTCATGATGAAGGGGTCGTAGCGTTGAAAAAAAGTGGCGACGCATTTTGGTTAGTGGTAATTGACTCTGATTTGCCTTCATGCTGGCGTATGATCACATCATGATAGCTGAATCTGACCCCAGTTCAAATCTCCGTCATGTTTTTGTGGGCATACAGTTGGTCGCTGCTGGGCTTTTAGGAGGTTGATATTGGTCATGTGACTCGGTAATGCCGCCTGCTTTGCCGAAGCCCACGGAAGTTTTATTGCCCGCTAAGCCAAAAATATATAATCATGTTAATAATATGTGAGGAGGAAAAAAAAGGGATCACAACTCCACACCCCGTTTTTTTGCCATACGGCGAGACTTGCCCCGTCAAAACAGTAATCATGGCAAAGAGACATGATCGGATGAAGTCTCTAGCAGAGCAAATTGCTGACCTACAAGATCCAACTCCGAAAGGTGAGCGCTCATACTGTGCAAAAATTCTCTTGGTCTGTGCTGGTAACTGACAGCCGAGCTATATGTATAGACTTTGACCCAGAAGACTTAAATGACGGCGAAGAAAGCAGCGACAATCAATCATCTGGAGCGGAGGACGGTAATGCTAACGCCGGCCGGGAGCATTACATATCTGTTGGGTGAGTGGGTCTGATTTCACTCTCAACCATCATTGACTGATAAATTTCTGGCTGACACTGCCAACAGAAAGAGCAAGCTCCGCAAACCGGAAAGAGTGTCTCTCGGACGCGAATATGCTGGGTCACGAGTTAGTAGAGAAGCACTTGAAAGCGACGGGAGCGAAGACGATACATTCCGCAAGGATACAAGCGACGAGGTTATGTCCGAGTCAGCTGATGAGCTGGACGAATCGGAGAACGGACGAGTGGGAGAAGATAGTTCTGATGCAGAATCTGAGGATATGGATAATGGGCTAGGATCTGGTGGTGAGCTAGATGGAGTAACTGATTCTGAAGACGATCAAGAATTTGGGGATAGCAATGATGACGAAACGAGCGCGCCGGCCGCATCAGACGATCGCGCTGAAATTAGGCGACTCATGGTTTCTGATCACAAAACTGTCGCAGCGTCATTATCTCAAGCTGCGAAGGCAGATGCTGCAAAGGGGAGTGCGATCAAGCGACAGCGGTCGGCGTTCGGTGCCATACTGAACGCACGTATCAAACTTCAGAAGGGCATTACAATTCTGAACGGTCTACCGTCTACGTTGAAGGATGATAACGCGATTGATCAGGCCTCGATCAAGTCTGCCGAAGCTGCGGCACTGGCCCTTTGGAGCACGATCGAAGATCTTCGACATGCACTTGTCGATGCCCAAACTAGCAGCATCTCTTCTAAAAAACGAAAACGAGGCCTGCATCCTTGTGCCTCCACCTCGTCGGCAGATATCTGGAACCGCATGGAAGAAATCGAAGCACAGTCACGGCCCCACCGCCGCGCAGTCCTGGATAAATGGGCATTAAAAATACGTGGCTCAAGGGCAGCACTGCCGAACGCCAGAGGTAAATTAATGAATCACGGAGCAGTTGACCAGCAAACAATAACTTCCGTACTGGATGCCCACATTGCAACAGAACTGGATAGTCACCCGTCCAAACGCACCATGACGGACAAAGTCCAACAACTTAAACAACCCAACGGCACTTCTAGCGCCTCACACGAGCTTAACGAGATTTACGACGACTCTATTTTCTATCAGGCTCTCCTCCGCGACCTTGTGGAGGAACGAATGTCAGCCAACAGCGGCGTCGAAGCACTTCAGATGCAGCTTCCCTCTCGCCTTGCTATCCACCCCACCACTGGGATGCGCAAGGATAAGGTTAAAAGATCTGTGGATACCAAGGCATCCAAGGGCCGTAAGATGCGGTATACAGTTCATGAGAAACTGCAGAATTTCATGCCTCCAGAGGACAGAGGTACATGGGGAGATCGCGCCAGGGGGGAGTTCTTCGCTTCCTTGCTGGGGAGAAGTGCGCGGGCGGTTTTGGGTGAGGATGATGAGGATGAGGACAAGGTTATGGACGATGAGGAGGATGTTGAAGAGGATGGACTCAGACTCTTTCGGAGTTAAGAAATAGGATAGAGGCCATTAATATTTCGTTCCTTATTGTTAGATTATTATATCTATGCCTGCTCTCCATTTATCGAGTACCGGCTTACTGATGTCTATATGTTCTATTGTCGATGCAACGCCATATCCGACAACGGCATTTATCCTCTACACGTATAAATCTTCGAAGGAGTGGAATGCTCCACAGTATGAACAATGGGCAACGGTAATCGTCCGACGACACTTATTCTCGCTCTTATTAAACCTTAAAAAGGTTTTCCCATCGCCTAATTGAAGAGCTATCAACAAGGAAGAAACCTTACAGATCCGATGTCTGTTTAGACTAGTATGAATCGTGTTAATTATATTCCATGCTACTCGTTATGTTTGAAGTGATTGCTTGCTGTTAGAACGCTAGTTTCTATCATTTGTCTTGATTTGTCATATAGAAGTGAGGGACATGCAGTTTCAGGGGGGAATCCAGCTCGATATGTTCGACATCATGTAAACTAGTTGGCACTCGACGGATTTTTTTGCTATCCCATTTGTGAACCCTCCGGCATCGGGGCGCTTCAACAAAAAAAATATATCCGCATGCAAAGGCAGAAATAAACTGAAGACCACCCACGTATCGCATTACCGACATTGCCCCTGACGGCAAACCTCAAACCTCGCACGGTCTGAGGAGGGAGGACTTCGGGTGGAAGACGGCTAATATATTACCCAAATGTATCCATGGTACGGTACATCTTTCGTTGCCGGCATTACCTGGGAAATAGAAATAAAGGCATAGTCGGTATGAGGCCGCCTGGGATATATTCATCTCCTCGCGCATTGCTTATCCTATTTCGTCGATTTCAATTATTATGGACCAGAAACACTACCTACATACCATCCTCTGGCGTGGGTCCCCAAGCTAATAACAACGCGTATATTACTTTCCCCATGCAAGCAAACCGGAGGGGTTACGCTCCGTTAGGCCCTTTTCAATCCAGTACAATAATTGAAACAGTTTGTCGACTAAAACAGGAAAAAGTCGTGCATTTCATTTGATCAGATAAATTCATTAAAAATGAAAAAAAAAAAAAAAATGAAATGAAATGAGACAATGAAATTGGAAAAGATGGAGTAGCGGCAATGCATCTATCGAGAGGTAGGGGGGAGGGGAAGGCACTACCATTTCTACAAACGCCTTCTGAAGCAAGAAAAAGATTAGTCGAATATTTTGATGTGAGGCTCCCTGCCATCGGATTGGTGTGGTAACAAACTAGGGAATCTGCTCAAGATACCAAGATGCAAAGTCAGCGATGAGAAATGCCAAATAATTAAAGACGAGAAGGGATAAGCGAAATTATATTAATTGAAGTCTCGCCGCAACAGGCATGGGAGACAAGGGATTTTAACGAAGGAGATATTTTCCGAGGAAAGTAAGGGGAAGACTGCTCTCGTAGAAAACCCATTCGAACCAACTGTATGAAAATCGAGCGTAATCAATAATCGTCTTCGGCTTGTTGATAGATATGACGGCTTCGTGCTGGATCTTTACGCATCTGTTGGCCAGAGCCAGTAAAACCAACTACATCAAGGGGGAAAAATGAAAAAGAAGAGAGTCAGTGATTGATTCGAATTTCCATGAAATATGTAGCATGGAGTGTAGAGTTCAGCAAATGAGCGTATATATATTTTAGAAAAGGGGTGGGGTAGAGAAAATTCTCACCTCGAGCATTGATCCCTTCCGGAGTCCGAAACATGCTTTCCTTCTTCCCAGCCTTCCCGAGCTTACTCTTAGCCGCAAAATCCTGCCATTTGCTCTTCCCAGCCTCCAGTTCCCGATTGGCTCTGACTTTTCGGGGGACCTTAGCTGGGCGCATGGGGCCGTCGCCTGCCTTGCTTGGCTCCTTGCGCGCCTGGGTAGCCAGAGCTGGGTTGATATCTGCAGCAGCAGAAATTACGCTCGAATTGGCCGGAAGCGTCTGTGGGGATACGGAGCCTGATAGTCCATCAGCCTTGCGTTTTCGCGTGTCAATGATGGGTTTAATGTCTTTCGCAGTCAGGGTTTCAGTTGTCCCGTATGACTTGAAAGAAACAATGTAGATGGGGTTTGTGGATGAGCCTGTTATGGATGTGATGCGGGCGGGATAGAATGTGTTATCTCCGGAGGCCCATCGGGCTAGGACATTATCATTTACAGATAAAGAGACCGGAGGTGAGGGCTGGGGTTCTTCGGGAGGAGTGGGCTCAACGGTGGGTTTTCGGTAACCCGCTTGGTATGCCGGGTGGTTCTCTTTCGACCATTTTTCTTTTGCAGGAGGAGGGGAGGATTTCGGCTTCTGTGGAGAGGGTCGTAGCTCTGAGATGGATTGTTCCGTGAGGGATATGAATTCTTCAAGCTCCGTCTTCAGTCCCTGCAGTTCGGCATTATCTGGGTCTACCTGCAAACTCGATTGAACTGCCTCAAGCTATAGGATATATTAGTACCACGTAAAGCGTGTCTCTGGATTCGTAAGCGCGGAGGAACCTTGGGAATTCGAAGAAGGGAATGAAACTACGAGAAACATACCTGGACCTTGAATTCCTTCACTTCAGCCTCGAGGGAGGCGAGCTCTGTGTTCATTTTTTGGACGTCACCCATGTAAACAGCGACTGGTGGGTAAAAAGAAAACAGGAAACGAAGCAACTCTAATGGAGACTGACGCTTCCTAGCAGAGGTATACAAAAGCAGCCTGGGCCAGAACTGTTGAGCGTCAATGCGACCACCGACAATGATATGATGGGTGAGGCAAGAGAGTCCCGTGATGATCATCAAGCTGGCCAAAAAAGTTAGCGGAATCCGATACTTCCTATTACAGACTAGCGCACAGCACATCTATGAATATGAAACCAAAAAAAAAAAAAAAAAAAAAAAAACCTGCTTCTGGCCCTAGGGTTGGCTCAGGGCAATGTGAATGACCACCGGTGGAATTGATGAAGAGACTCATGGTACTCGTGGAGAAACAAAACTGGTTGGAAACTCCGATTCTCTTGCAGAGTCAGCATTTATACTTTTATATAGTTAACTAATCTGCTTCAATTTACTATTGAGAATCTATTTCCCTGATAGAAGATTTTCCAACTGATAATCTTTCATCACTCTCATAAATATCTTATTAAATGAATCAAATACTATTGTCTGATCTGAGAACTCACATTCATTCTAAATAACTGTAATAGGAGCAACGGAAGTATCTATATTAGAAAATAGCTACGTGGTGATAGAAGGGCATAGAACATCAGCGATAGGCTTTGAATAGTTATAAGAGATTGCTACCTTATTAATATCTTCGTGCGTACTTCACACTGCTCTTGTAACTACCCTTGTAGCATACCTCTTACAATAACATCACTACTCTTGACATCTATAAATTATCAATTACTTCAGTTCTAACATTCCTTACCTCACTCGGCATCCTAATATCTACGCTACGGTATCTAAAATAATGTATCTGAAAGGTTACACTCAACAGTGAGTGCTTAATGCGGTTGAGCCTCGTTTCTACAAAGCGGGCTCCACTTTTTTTTTAAAGGTCCTATTCCAAAACCATAGTTACTACGCCCTTGACAGATGACTTCCAGCAGCGATAAGATTGCTTAGTTAAAAAGTTAAGGGTTGGTTCAACGGTAGGTGTGTCCTCGAGACTACACGAGGGGTCAGCCGACGTGTAACCTGGTGTGGTCCTCTGTTTTACGGAGACGCATTTCAAAAGTCTCATCAGCGCTATATCAATATATTACATGCATATCACTGAACCCACTACACACATCTAGGGAGGACAGGCCACTAGGCCTGGGCATCATACGGAGTGCACAGCTCCAGAAATGGCATTTTCATTTCATATCATTGTTTGACGCAGCAGATAGATGGTTGGTTAAAACAAAGCTGTTTGTTTCTAGCCCGCAATTTTGAAACCAAGGCTCCTCATAAATCCGGGAACCTGGTCGAGATTGGGCACGTCAGCTGGTCAGACAGGCACGGGCAGTGGCGGTTTTGGCGGAGATTGGATGCCCGTGTTGGAGTATTAGTGGTTATACGGAAAATAGAAGTGCAGCACATTGCGCTGTAGGATCATGCTGGCTAAACTATCGGCTTCCTCCTTGTTTTTTCCTTTTTGTAGATGAACGTCTTCTGCTACTACTATTTCTTCGAGTTTGCCGCTTGCTTTGATTTTCGTTTTTATAACTTTTTCGAGATACCATCATGTCAATAGCCTCGTCCTCATCAATTACCCCACGGAAGCGGCTATCCCTGACTCCCGACTCAATTGTCGCCGAATATCCCATCCTGATAATGCTTACTCCTTAAATACTGCTCACAGACCCCACAACAAAGCGAGAGGAATCCATTTATGTGGCAAGGATGGCTGCTTCTGTGTTTTCGCCTCTCTAGCAGTCCACGATTCGGCACAGCTTATGAAACGATACTGGTCAAGGCTGTGATTAACTATTTATACGAATCTCTGTCAGTAATTAACCTGGAGAATGTTACAGCTTCGCCTGCCAGATGTGCCGGGCGTTGCATTCGTTTCTCGACCTTTCATAAGATCAGCTTTTCGTGTCATTCGCCCAATTTGCGATCATGTTCCCGGGCCAGAGAGAGGGAAATGCATCTGGGACGGCCATGCATTTGTGAAGAACAATCCCCTGCATCTTGCAATTTCGAGGCTCTTCACAAAGTTCCTTTTATACCCCGCTGGATCCTCCATGGATTAAGTCTCGTCCTCGTTCCCTGAAGGTGTGCCTCCTCTCACCTACACCTCTACTCTTGGATCTTGAAATCCATACGGGGCACATTCCCATCAACTCCTCTTGCCTCGTAACTAGGCAAATTCTACGGTGGCCAATATGGTGATTACCGCTCTGTGCCAATTGACCTTGCTTGGGCTGGCAAGCGCCCAGGTTGTCAAACGTCCACTCCTCAACTCCGTCGATGAGTTGCTTCCCAAGATCGATGCTGTTCTACCGGCTGCGCAGAAGTACAGTTTGACGAAATGGACTACAGCTGAGGGTAAATACTTCAACCGTCTCCTTTCTTCTTCTAATCGAGCTACATCTCAGCGATTATATGCTAGTTGTAGCGTGGAGTAGCACCTTGGGGGTGGGCTGGGAGGGCGGGTAGGAACCATCTGCTGACTTCTTTCCTGCTTATTTGCAGTTGACCAAGTGGTGCCACTTAACCCACTTTGGCGTGATACCCTTGAGGACGAAGACAGCGAATTCTATTGCAAAAATGACCTTACTGTCTACAATGTCACTTTCATCGATGTGAGAGAAAGCAATTATATTCCTTTGCACCTCCCTTTATAACATTTATTTCGCTAATTTTCCGAGTCTACAGTGCCCCGAGCCCTGGCTTGTAGGCCACTGCGCCAAGGCGGAGACAACCAAAGAGGCCACATTTGACTTGCTTGGGCGTCTCCCGTCAAGTGCCCGTGGTGTGATATCTGATCTTCTGCTCACGGTAATGAGGCCAGGCTTCAGCATGCGAGCGGCCTATGAGAATTCTGTGGTTTTTGCAGCAAGACCTGCACCATACGATGAGTTCAGAATGATGGTGACAGCACTCCGGATCGGATCGCCTGGCATCCCTGAAGACGAGTTTGAAGAGGCTGTTGCTGCTGACAGCTGTGTAGCTGATCAACCCGCTGCAGACAAAATTGAAAAGGAGGGTGAATATCAAAGTGCTCTAGAGGCCGGTTTGATAGTCGTGGCGTATTTAAAACTCGTCAAAAGTCCTCCTTTGGACGCAAGCTGCATGCAAAAACAGCTCGACTTTCTGAAGCCGTATCTGGATGCAAGATGGGATGCGCCGGGCGAATGTCCGAATAAGGTGCCACCCAACATTTCCAAGTACAAGTAAGTACGCAACGTGTAAACCACTATTATGATTCCCTTGCGAAGAAATGTTGTCAGTGATGAGTTTCAATAACTAAGGAATACATTAGGCCTGTCGCATTCCCGGATGGACTACAGGTACTCGATGTCGACCCTGTTCCGGCACCTCGTGCAACAGTGGTTCAATGGGACAAGTCTGATGGCTATCCTGAGCTTTGCTGGAAGCTATCTCAAATACCTAAGATGGGCGGACCCGATCCGTGGTGTAAGGCTGAGAACCTGAATATTTACAATGTCACCTACTCAGACTGTCCGGATCAGGACCCCTGGGCCCTCTGCCATTGCAGTGACGCCCAAATTTCGGCGGATTCCATGGTGACAAAGTTTGGTCGTCTGACTCCGGGCCTACGAAGCCATGTTCGCCATCTGCTCGTCCTCAACTATGATGGTATCGGCGCCAGTGATAGTGCGCCAGACTATCAATTTATCTTTTCTGCAGGCGACGCTCCGGACAGCTCACTCATGACCGCTGCAACCACCTTGCTTGCCGACGGATTCTACTACACCGATACTTGGATAAACGCCACCTCACGGGATACATGCTGGCCGACGATGCCCTACAACGTCAAATCACCATGGTATGAAATATTTTCTGCAACAGGTGCGATATATCTTTACGATAGCAGTGGCAAGTCGATGCTCGAGCGCGGGTATGATGTATCCTGCATGTCAAATGGGTTGAGGGCGCTGGGAGCCTACGATGGTAGCGATTTTAAACAAGGAGGCAAATGCTTCAAGCGAAAACCCAACGACCCGATCGTTCACCCTGATACCAACAACCTTCTACCCTCAGGGCCAAATGCGGTTAGTGAGGGGATAATGAAGAAGCTATTCCGCCCCTCCTCAGTCTGGAAGGAAATAAGAAAAAGTAATTAGGGGGTAGTAAGTTCATCCGGTGTCTTGATAGTGCCTGATTCTTCTTTGATGGTAAAGAGAATGGCGTGATTGACTGGAAGAGAAAGGGTCCTTGATAACTTTAAGTTATTAGCTAGGATTTTTTCCTTTCGATGGACGATGGGGTTTCTTCAATTGGGGGGCCACTTTGTAATTTAATTAGTTGAAGAATCTTCAATGATAATGTCATATTCTTCCGCAAAAAATGCGTTGAGAAATGCACCTCGCGTTGGCTGACCTAATAGATTAATTTACTACATACAACAACACACCCCCATGTAGACTTGACCGGTGGGACCATGAATTACACATTTGGTTTGGTTTGGTTTGGTCCCAGTCCATTTCTTGGCGTGATTTTAAGTTGGGACCAGGATCAGAATGGGAGTGTAATGAGATCAAAATTTTCAGAAAATGGAGTGTAAAAGGATCAGATTTAAGCCTCACATGATCGGAATGGAACTAACAGATCTTGATATTTGGTCCCATCCTGATGATTTTATAATACCTATCTAGATATCAATCTGATGATATGATTGGTGGAGGTATTACCCCTATCTTGCTTATTCAATGGCTTGCTATTAGATCCCCTATCTGCCACTGCAGCACTGCCAACCTGTCTACATCTGTACTGCTGCCAATATTACCTATCGCTGCCAACCTATCTACCATTACTAGTTCAAAATAGGACTAGGGCATAAATACACTAAACTTCTTTTGATAGGTAACGATTTTTGGTAGCGCTCATGGCATTATATTATATACAGATTACGGATAGAGTAAATCATATCAGAATCAGTAATTTATAAGAAGAACATGATCTGGGACTAGATTTATAATACAAACAGTGTAAAGTGATTAATTTGATAAACCATATATGGGACCAGGACTAAGATATTTGATAATGGGACTGAGGAAAAATTTAGTCCCAGTCCCATGCATGGTCACACGGCCAGTCTAACCCCCATGGCAGGAGAACAACATGCCATGAGGTTTTTACGATAGGTAGGATAAATGAAACCTGGGCACTTAAGAAGATAAGACGAGCGAAAGAGAGAGGCAAAAAAAGGGCAAGAAAGAGAAAATATACAAAGAAAGTAAATGGACTTGGAGGGGAAGCTGGGGGCAAAAGGACACCAATGATGCTGCTCCTTAAACTGTTCACTCACCCGCTCTCTGTATCGTGACCTCAATCTACAGCATGAATTGGACTACCTCAAGGCTACATCCATTCAATTAATTCATTCGGCATACATACAGCACAATCGAACAAATGATGGCATATAGTTATTGTAATACATGTACTCCGTACTGTACTATCAATCAACAGCTCTAGTGGAATACTATTCCAACACTGAAGATATGATTGATATAAGAAACTGAATGAAGTCTTAGAAAATATTCTTTCTAATCAGAAAATGTCGCATCTCAATTTCCCAGAACGGTGACTAAATTGTGTTTTCCAGAGCAATATCAGAAGCCCCCCTCAGCAAGAATTGGATGACATTGCAATCCGCTACTGCTTTGGTGACTGAACTATTTGCAGCTTGAATTTGTCAATTTCATCAAGAGCCTCACGTTCTGAATGGATTATGAAGCTCAACAAACATTTTAGAATTAGCTATATGATATGATATATTCAGTCTATATCGTTGTTGAGATAACTGCATATGTTTGAAAAATAGCGTCGCCTCGGAGCATTGGAAGCGCCAAGTGGTGGATTAACCACGTTAGTAACTATCTTATCAAAAAAGTTTAAGCTCGTTGATGGCTCTGCATTTGCCATGGTTGCGAATTTTGAGTTTCCATTCCCTATCCACGTTCAACATGCAGAAAAAGTACAGAAGTAGAGACAAGTGCCATTTGAGAAATGTGACATTCAGAGAAGACAAATGCCTGATCGTAGCATTCGAAAACGAGGCGCTCTTCCCGGCCACAGTCACACCCCGTACAGAGGCTTTCCCGTGCCGTCAGACCACGGGCTGAGAATTTGCCGGACAAGAGGCTGCTTTCTCATTGGGGGCTCGTGTCTGAACGGCATCGGAGTCGGGGCAACTCTGTCCGGTCGAAAGCTGGAACCAAAGGCTTGAGTCATTCCTAAAGTTTCTCTGCGGTAGAAAGCTGACGTAGGTGGAGACCCCCAGCTGCAAAAAGGCGTGGCGCTAGAAGGGGTGAAAAAGTTTCCAAGGGGAAAGACGCAGAAACAAAGAGAAGTCCGTCCAAGGGAGTCCTGAGGGGCAATGGCAATGGCAAAGGGGACTGATCAGCGATGCGACAACCTACAGCCTGAAGCCTGAAGCCTGAAACCCGAAGCCTGAAGCCTGAAGCCGACGCCTTGTTTGAATCCTGGACGACCAAGATGGTGAATTCCAAGCTCCAACATCTCACGGAACATTGCACCGCGATCTGTGGGAGTCCGCTCCTTTTAAGGCGCGAACCACCGATCGGGCTACGGAGGCCCAGGGAAGGGTCCAGGGAAGGGCCCAGGGAATGGCCTGGGGAAGGGCCCGGGGAAGCCCAGGGAAGCCCGGGGAATCCGACGCCGGATACGACCTCCCCCACGGCTGGATTTATAATCACCAGGCAGCGCCTCTAAACCGGCACGAAGCAATTGCCCGATGTCACCTAGCGGCCCCCGCTGTCGTGCCAATCGACCGCGATCGTCGACCCCTCAATGTCCTCCAATTGGCCAATGGGCCTGGTCTGGGCCGCGGTGCTGCTTTTGCGGCCGGTAGTCCCTCATCCGGGCCTCAGGCCTCAGCCGCTGGGAAGTTGTAAAGCGTAGAGCGTGCTCTCTTGCTCCTCCTCGCACATCCATCATTCGGCATCATCAATCATCAATCATCATCCCTCATTCCCCATTCCTCATTCTTCATTCTGTCCCTCTCCCACACCATCGAACCATACCCTCGTTGCTTAGCCCCGTCACTGCCCTTAGTAGCAGCATAAGCCCTGGAGCTGCTCAGGTCCATCTCAGCTCAGCTCTTCATTGCCTCCCATCGCATTCGTCTGGAACAAGCCTGGGAACGTCCCTCCGTTCTCTCCAGAGACGGCCCTCTGGAACCCATTTTCTCTGTTTCATCCATTCTCAGCTAGTACCCCTAGGGAATATCTCGTCATTGGCCTGTTTCTTCTGCCTTCAAAAACTAGCCTCGGATTAATTCCATTCCTTCGCTTGCGTCATAGCCTCAACTGCCTGAGCGATCTTCCTCCTGGCACCCCCGCGGAAAGCGAGGGAAAGAAGAATTCCAGCTCGTCTTCCTTCTTCCTCTCTTTCTTCACATCTCCTCGTCCTCCCTTCAACAACCTCTCTGTCCGACCTCTGCTTGGACAAATTTCCGTACTACCCGGATTTCCCCTCTTTCTCTATCCCGGACTCGCCTCCCAACAGAACTTTTACCAGCGTGCTTTGTTGTGCCATCTGCGCCCCAGGGACTCCGATTTCAACGAACTTTCCACGCCTCTTAACACCTACCTTCTAAACTATTGTCGGGTTAGATATTTCCGAAAGCTGCTCGATTGCGTCTGACGCCTGATATTTGCCCACCTTGGCAGATGGCCATAGCTTGATCATCTTCACTAGTTTCCCTCCAAGCCAACCTCTTATTGAAAAAGTTTTAAACTCTCCTCTTTTACAATCCTCTTTTCTTCCAACAGCCTAATTCCAATAGTCTTTGCTGTTGAGTCGTTGAATTTCACGAGATACTCTGTGTACGGATACGTTGGCGATGTCGGATTTCGATTCCCTCTATCAACGCAGTCTGTATCTGTCACCGGACCAACAGGACCTTCTCCTCGCAGCACTTGCCTCTGGCGATAAAACCGCCAAGATGGCCAACGGCCAGTCTCAACCTAATCCCCCATCGGAAGCCAAATTTCCAGACTCTCGGCCCAACTCATCCTCTCCGCAAGTTAACTCTTTTGACAATACTGGGATATCCAACCGGGATATATTTGAATCCCCACCGGATGAGCCTCTTGACATTGCACAGCTAGGTTTTGAAGGGAGCCCCTTTTTGGGTTTCGACCTTGACGTGGATTTTGACCCACGTGAGGATTTGATTGGGGATCTCCCTGGGCCTTCACCAAATGGTGACGATATCGAACAGGGGGAAAAGAGGAAAAGCATTGACGGGAATGAGGAGGCGGAGGTTGGAAAGAAACGAAGAGAGACCGATGACAAAATGGCTAAGAAGCCTGGCCGAAAGCCGTTGACGTCGGAGCCAACTACCGTATGTGCTTTGATACCTTCCCCCCCATCCCTATCTACCCTCCTAACGTTCACCTTTCATCAATTCCCGGAGGGGTCATCCTTTGGTAAGAAATAGTTATGTCTGTTTTGCTTAATGATATCCTCGTGGTAGAAACGTAAGGCGCAAAATCGAGCGGCTCAACGAGCTTTCCGGGAACGAAAAGAGAAACATCTCAAGGATCTCGAAACAAAGGTGGAAGAGCTGGAAAAGATTTCCCAGTCGACGAATACTGAAAATAAACTTCTTCGTGCTCAAGTTGAAAGGCTCCAGGGCGAAGTGAAGGAGTATCGCAAACGTCTGCCATGGGTAAACGGTGGAACCAGTTTGCTGCCGACGACGAGCTCTAGAATGCGTGGTTCGGAATATAGAGATAATTCCCTTCTCAATGGCAATGACTTCTCCTTCCAATTCCCCAAATTTGGCGATCTCCCTGGTTCTCACATGTTTGGCGATGGTTTACCAAAGGCGCCATCCCATCAAGCCAAGCGTGGAAGCGCATCTCCGACCATTCTTGGATATGATTACAGGACACCCGCAACTAGTGTAAACTCATTCAAAAGCGCAAACGTCGCATCACAACCGCAAAATTTTAACCTTAGAAATACCCCTCAATTTGTGCGAACGCCCGATAGTATGCATTCAGCAGACACCGCCAAATCACAACGCCGAAACACGACTGGCATAGAAAACATCAATGGGTCTTTAGACAACTACCCAGGCCGCCCGTCTAGAAATAACACGGGTTTATCCTATACTAGTACTAGATCTGGCACCAATTCTAACAACTATGCAACGTATCAAATACAGAATTACGGCAGTTCCAACGCTTCAAATTCCGCCTCTCCCTCCGCCTCTTCAGAATCTCAGCATCTCTCATCTATAGGTACATCGCCAGAACCCAGTGTGAGCTCACCATCAATTGGGAAACTTGCGGAGTCCGGATTGAACACAATTAATGAACAAAACGGAAATCATCCGGAGGGAGAAGGTGAGAAATCTTTCTACGAAAAGCTTGGCCGGGCCTGCGGTTGCGCTGAGAACCCAGTTCCTGCTGCCTTGTCAGATTCTAATCGTCTTCCCAAACTTCCAGATCATAACAATCATAACAACAACGCCAATAACAGCAGTAACAACAACATCAACTTCCCAGGAGATGGCCTGTTAGGGATCGACTGGCTCGCCCAACAAAATGGCGGCCAATTTGACCCTGTCTTGTTCGGTGACTACCGCGATCCCCAAGACGCGGTTCTCTCACAAGACTTTGGAAATTTCTTCAACGACGCGCTGCCGTTTCCCGAGTTTGGAGGTTCACTGGATTCACTCAATGAGCTGAGCAACGGTAATGCCACAACCACCTTGGCACCCACAACGCCGCAGAAACATGACCTGCTCAAACAAATCGATAACGTTGTCGAGGGGAAGGATGATGAGAAGGTTGTGCCAGCAGAGGACCCCTCGCAGGTGTTATCTTGCACAAAGATATGGTATGCGATTAGTATATTTTATTATTTCTATTACTATTTTATCTACCATCCACCGCCATTGATGCCCTCACGGTCCAACTCTGTGTCTAACACCTCACAATCTAGGGACCGGTTACAATCGATGGAGAAATTCCGCAACGGCGAGATTGACGTGGATAGCTTGTGCAGTGAATTGCGGACAAAAGCGCGCTGTTCGGAGGGTGGTGTTGTGGTTAAGCAGGATGATGTGGAGGCTATCATCTCTCGCGCGGAGTAGGGTGCGTGTAAGGAGACGCTATCTAATATGAAAATATACTAGTACTTGTTTATTTACCCATGGATGTATTTGAGCAGTTTTTTGATTCTGTTGTTGTTTTTATGAAGGAAAGTAATCTGACACGCGGTAAAAGGGGTCATGAACTTGGTTTGGAGAGGTTGGAAATAGTATATATGAATCAAGGCAATATGGCAAGAAAGGGCGGATGGGAGAGAGATAGGAACAAGGAATACATATATCGCGATGAGACAAGAATTTCAAAACCCAAAGCAAAAATTCCTTTTTACATATTTGCATTATCATCACCATCGTCATCACTATTATTACCGTTATTCTCCGCATTTATGTACTGCACATGCGAAGCCTCCTCCTCCCTCTCTTTGTTTTTGTGTTGCCCTCTTTGCCTCCTGCGTAGAGTAGGTATGTATGACATTGGGACTCTATGTAAGTGACGAACCGCTATGCCAACAAAGGGTTAATCTTCAACGGTGGAGTCGCCAATATTAAGATCCTGAGTAATAAAAAAAACATGTTTCTCTCCCTTTCAAGAGTGCATTTTCTATATGGGTGAGCATGTTTATTTAGTCTCACCCAATGCTGCACTCACTCATTTCCCCCCTCGCTTTTTTTACCTTTGTCGGTCGTGCGCTTTTATAGATTCCACTCTTTATGCGCCAAATCAGCCTGTGCATTCTTCTGGCTTTTCTGACTTCCTGATTCCGGTGTCTGTTTTACATTTCAATTGTGCAATTGAAAGTTCAAATTCTTGAACAGTATTAATCTTGATAACATCATTACTGTTCTATTTGGGTCAATTTCAAGTCCCTTTCGATCAATCGTCTGCATTTAGAAGTTGAGGCGTTTGTTTTGAATTACTACGATGCTATTCTAGCCAGGCGCTTTGCAAGCTCATAGAGCTCCTAACCTGCCCTGCTTTTATGCGGTAATGCAATGCTCCACTCATGCGCACTGCGCATCAGTCCCCATCAAGCGGATGACTTAATCATACCACGTGATCCGAGCCTCAACCTTCGCCAGAATCAACTTCGGATCCCTTTTCCTTTTGGTTCTGTAACCTCATCACCAAATAACCCGCGGGTTCTCTCTCTGCTCTTCTCTCGCTGGGACTTCTCTTCTCCTCTCTTCTCCGCTCCGTTGCCTGTTCTCCGGAACGTTGTCCTCCGGATCTTCTAACGTAACCCCCCAGTACTCCCCCTTTCCCTGCGCTTAATATTCCGCTTTTTTTGTCTTCTTTCCTCGTCTTTTCATCTTCGCGCGAAACAACCCTCCTCCCCTTTGGTTTCAAAGGCCTTGCATCTTGCACTTACACGTTGCAGCACGTTGCCTTCTCTCCAGCAGAGCTCACCTCTTTATTTATAATCCATATTGACTTTGGCATCCGCCTCGGGGAAACCCAAGTGGTAAAAAGGCTAGCTTTCGGCACATCCAATCCCGGTCAAATCTTGCATCCATCTTGACGTATTTTTCTGTCGCCTTCTTTCTTTCCTTTCATTGTTGCTTTTTTGCGTTCTTTCGAAACCGTCCATCTGTTCTTGTCCCAGATTAATCGGCGACGAAGTGACCGAACCGATCAAGTGCCTGAACGCTGAACCGCCAAACCGGACAAAAAAAAAAAAGAGGAAGCGCGTATCTACACCACCCTCTCCCCGCCTCCTCTTTCATTTTCTCAACCCGTTAACATCCATCAACCTGTTTGCCTTTCCTCCTGTCTATCCATATGGCTTCAGTATGTTTTCTCCCTAATCCTGCAAGTAGCTTACCTGATCGACATAAGCCGTCCTCTTATGAACAAACCTTCTCCCACAGCTCCCTCAATCCTTCCGCACTCGTTTTTTTTTTTTTTTTTTTTTTTTTTTGTGGAACGCGTGTATTCCAAGAGACGATCACTGACTTTCGGCGAAACGCACAAAAATAATAGCCCCGTCCCGCCCACACCTTTAACAACCCGGGTTACAATCTCGCCAACGGATCGACGAGCGGCCCCACTCCCGGAGCTACTGCGCTGCTCCCGAATAATGGCAGAGTGATTCAGACCGGTGGTGTGCGAGTGCTTTGCGTTGCGGATGTGCGAGGTATGCAGATTGCTGATCAACAATTCCTCTTTCTTGCTTGATCTATGTATTTTTGGCCTCTGGGCAAAAAGGAAGAAAGTTTCACTTGATTGTGTGGGAGGATATATATAGGCTTTTGAACGTCATATTTCTATCTGCTTATGTGTTGATAAACCCCCCGACTAACGAGAGCCTTTCAAATGGTCTTAGGAAACTTAAAATCACTCAATGAACTTGCCAAGCAGGCTCGCGCGGATCATATTATCCATACTGGCGACTTTGGATTTTATGATGATAGCTCTCTCGAGAGGATTGCGGAGAAGTATGTTTCTTTTCTTTTCTTTTCTTTTCTTTTCTTTTCTTTTCTTTTCTTCTTTTGGACCCATCCCCTACTTCAATTTCACAAATGTACACCTCCCAATTATGCCTTTAAACTAACCGAATTGATTTTTTTTACGCCCTTTGCAGGACATTGAGACACGTTGTTCAATACTCTCCTCTCCTTCCAGAGACAACCAAGAAAAGCATTGCCCAAGTTCCATCTCAGCAATCCATCAAACAACGATTCAGCCCAGAACAACTCCCCCTCTCCGAACTCCCGCTATTGCTCAACAAGCAATTGACACTCGACATTCCCGTATACACCGTTTGGGGCGCTTGTGAGGATGTACGGGTACTGGAAAAGTTCAGGTCTGGAGAATATAAGGTCGATAAACTACACATCATCGATGAAGCCAGCTCGAGGTTGCTGGATGTCGGTGGGGTGAAACTCCGCCTCCTTGGCCTGGGAGGTGCGGTGGTTATGCATAAGCTGTTCGATAATGGAGAGGGCAAGACAACGATCGCGGGCGGGCAGGGAACTATGTGGACAACGCTTCTGCAGATGGGCGAATTGGTTGATACCGCAAACCGCGTCTATGACCCGTCTGAGACTCGTGTTTTCGTCACGCACGCCTCGCCAGCTCGCGAGGGCATGTTGAACCAACTCTCTGTCACACTCAAGGCTGATTTCTCCATTTCGGCCGGGTTGCATTTCAGATACGGCAGTTCATATAACGAATTCAGCGTTAATCCTACTCTGGACCATTATCGTGGCAAATTGGCGGCATCCAAGGCTTCGTTTAACGACGTGTGGGACACAGTTAAGGGCGAGGTCGAGACTGCCATCAATGCCAACGAGGCCCAGAGAACCCTATTGGACAATGCACTAAATATCGTTGAGAAGATGCCGACAATCGCGAATGGCGGGAACCCCTTCGGAGGCCCTGTCGCAGCGAGCAATGCCGGCGCCAGGTTGATGAGAGTGCGTTCAAAAACATGTGGAATTTCAACCTGGCGGATGCTGCTTTCGGATACTTGGTTCTGGAAATCGATTGTGGGCGTATCGGCACGGAAATGCGTGCTCAGGGCTTCAACTTCTCACATCGTACTGGCAAGCAAGCAACCGCCGCACCCCCCATAACCCAACAACAGCCATCGACCGTGCCGGGCGCGCCGGGTCCTGGTGCTCACCCCGGACAACAAAGACCAACTGGCGGTGTTCAATTCGGACAGACACCAGTACCGAACCGTGGTGGCGCTGGGACCACGTATCAACAGCCAACACAGCCTCCACCCGCGCAAAACAAACCGGCGGGGCCGCTTCCTCCGAAAACAACCGCATCACCAGCGCCCGTAATTCCGAACAACAAAATTAATAAGCCCGCAACACCTCAGCCCACCGGGGCGAATGTCAACGTCCCCGCAAGCTCGACAGACAAAGCCAACGAGTCCAACGGCACAGCGCACGGTGCCGGTGACAGGACCGATTCCAGGAATGACTCCAGAACAGGGCCCCTTCAAGAACGCAAACAAAGCAGCGGCCTCTTCATCTCGAACGTAGACTCCGAACAAGCAATCCGCGACCTATTCACCGACGACGACAAAGCCAAGATCCTCAAGGTAGAGAAATGGGGCAAATTCAACCATGTGGTGACCTTCTCTACTCCCGAGGAAGCAAAGAGTGCCTTGGACCGACTACCGGCTGACCACAAGAAACCAAGCCCGCCGGGTCCGAACCGGAAGCCGAACGTGAAGATGTTTGAGGATCGCGGGAGCCGAAGGGATATTAATCGTGGGGATGGCAACGCGGGGACGTGGCAGGCTAGCAACCGCGGCGGTGGTGCGGCGGGCGCGGCTGCTGCGAACGTCGGACCGCGGAGTGGGTATCAGAGTGGCAGCGCTTCGAGCGATCTGGACATCGGACGGGGTCGTGGTGGGTTTGGTGGCGGGCGAGGTCGGGGTGGACGAGGTGGAGACAGAGGTGGACGGGGCGGGGATAGAGGCGCAAGGGGTGGCCGCGGTGGGTATGGCAGTGCTGGCGATCGCGGCGAACTGCGGGAGCGCGGTGGTGCTTCTGCTGGTGCTGCTGGTGGGAAGGGTGAGTCGCCGGCTCCTGCTACCACGACGCCAGCACCAGCCCCTGCGGGAGAGGCGAAAGGGGGTGACTAAATGCGGAGTCCGTTTGATTTTGTATGTGGACGGGATGGATATGGTTGGGTTTGGGCTGTTTTTTATCTGTTTTCTTTCTTTTTTTTTTTTTTTTTTTTTTTTTTTTTTTTTTTTTTTAAATGTGATGTGATCGTGTGTAAAACTTTTTTTTCTTCTCATTTTTTAATATAAAGTTTATGTTATCCTCATTTTCAATTCCTTTCTTCCCTCTCGAACTATTCAGCTCCTCCTCCTGTTTTTCCGCCCGTTCTTTATGGTCACAAAATCCATTCTTGCTTTCATTTCGTTTTTGTTTTTTTCTTTTTTTTTTTTCCCCTTTTCTCCTTTTCTCACTTCATTCTAAAGAATTTCGTATCATACATACATACCACAACTACTACAACTACAACCACAACTACAACTACAACTACAAGAACAACAACTACTACTACTACTTCTACTACTAGTGCCACGTACCTCGAGCTACTCCATATACCTACTACCTACGTAGGCGCACCTACTTCTCAAGTGGTGTCTATATTGCCGCATCCCCTTATCAACGGGGTTAGAAAAATAGGCAAACAAGCAAGCAAGCAAGCAAGCAAGGGCAGAGGACAAGAGAATAAATAAGAAGAAAAAATGATGTGTTTCGTTTTATTTAAATTGAAGTGGCTTACTATATACTATTAGTGAGCTGGAAAACTGCTAGGGCATGTCAATATGTATATATATATGTGTGTGTGTATGTATGTATATGTTAAGGGAGGCTGATGTAGTTGCATGGAGCTAGGCAAGGGCATTGCAAAAAAAAAAAAAAAAAAAAAAAAAAAAAGTTAAAATAAATAAATAAATAAATAAGAGAGTGTGGTTCCGCACCCATGTTGTCCCCCGAATTTATAACAGCCCTGCCGACCTAGATGGATTTTCGCTAGGAGATAGACACACGTTAACCGATCTATAGAGAATATAGTTTTTCGCAATATATTGGCGGTTTGGTCTCCTTTTCTGATTTGATATGTGTTCTTCCACGGGGAAATGAATGTATGGACAATCCCTCGCTCCCTTCTCCGCCCTAAGGCTTCCCCTTTGAAGGATTTTTTTCTTAGGCCACGGATGGCACTGGGACGCTCCCTTCAGCTGGGACTACAGTTTTGTCTTATGGCTAGATAAATGCAAGTAAAGAACAAAAATGGAGTGTGGGTTAGCATTAGCATGGAATCTCTGAAGAGCGAAAAGGCAAAAAAAAAAAAAAAAAAAAAAAAAAGGGAGTAATAGAAGAGGTATCTCACCATTTGCATAGAAGATATAATTATCGGCATTCCGAAACGCCATATCAGACGCCAGCGCGATCGACGCGTCTTCACCGTAGGCAATATCAGTCGTGGCGGGATAGTATACGGCGTCGATATGAGAGAACTCGTGGATGACAGTCAACGCTTGGTCCCCTGAATCGCACTCCTGTGATGACACACCAGCCGAATAGAAGATTGGACAATTGACAACGATATTCGATCCCGAGACTGCATAGGCGATCGCGCCCGGACGGGAGCAAACGTTCATTGCATCATGGCACTGGTACTTGACTGTTCCGGCAATTGAGCTTTCGGCTTCGTTGGCGATGGCGCGGAAGCGGTCAGAAACCTGTTTGCGGATGGTGCGGTCTGTCGTGCGGAAATATTGCTCGAATAGTCGCGCATCGCCGTGTTGAGCGGCACTGGAAGCTTGTGTAGCGATGTTGGAGGCTCTTTTCAGTGCGCGGGCGATGACGGCCTTTTGCTGGTCGTTACAGCCGCCGTTGTCAAGGTCGGCGCGACGGGCTAAATGGTGGTGTTTGGCGCGGGCGGAAAGAATCTTGGATGATTGTTTGTCATTGACCTTTATTCTGATTTCGTTGGACTTATACGGGATGATGCCGGCGATATGTGTGGATTTGGCATCGCTGAAAGGGAAGATGCCCTCGGCAGAGACAATGTAAGTACTGTTTTCCGAGAGGTCGAAGGTTTCCGCGAGGTCAAGTTCGGTTTCGATGGTTTGCCCAGGGGCAATGGGTTGGAAGGCATCTCTGGTTAGACTGGAGTGGTAGTGGCGGATATGAATGCCTTTGAAGGGCACTTCTTTTTCGGAGCCTGTGATGTATTGGCTTGAGAAGGTGATTCAAGTGTTGCAACATGGAAGACAAGGATGTAACATACCTTCTTTGTAGACTGTGACCTTCTTCGTGTGAGATTTGTCAAGGAGTGTGTTCACTATAAGAACAGGGGTCTCTGAAGTGCCAGTGTTCGTCACGGAAACATGGACCTTGCTATTCCCGGTTGCGGACAGGCTGACATTGAGGCCCTCAGTACGGCGCCTAATGGAGATAATGGCGTTGGAGTATACAGGAGCGAGCAGACCAGCTGCTACCAATAGAATCGAAGATATGTGCATATTAATAAGGAATGAACAAAGGAAAGCTATGGAGGAAGTAAAAAGAAAATAAGGGTGGGAGAACAGAGACAAAGAAACAAGAAATAAGCACAAGCAAATAGAGAAATGTGAGAAACGAAGGTGATGAGGGAAACGAAGTGGGACGGTGAGTTATCTTCATTGTTCACCAAGATGCTCCAACTGGAGAATTATAGAGCATGAAGCTCCGGTTCCATGAGTGGAAATGTTGGCGGGTCGGTTGAACTTTATCGAGGGGCAGCCCTCGCAAGGCTGAGATCGAGGCCATCTTTAGTTTTTCACCTCGAATTCTCTTCCCGGTGTTGGTAACGGAGGACCTGAACGTGCCTGGCAGGCATGTGATTTTTGGCACAAGGCGATTTCCTAGCATAGTCAGAACAGCACCACAGTCGGTAATCGAATGTTTGCATTCCTTGACCGGAGAATATGCAAGTCCAGAGTGGGGACAGCGGGAAGATTTGCCACCTTGTTTGCCACTTTTTTTTTTTTTTTTTTTCCTTGGAAAGGTTTGAGAGGAGCACATCCCCAGAGGGTCCATAATACTCAAATTCCAGAATATTGCATGACCACCTCGGTTCACGAGAGTTGCTGCTGAGAAGTGCTGAAACTTGTAAGGAACTGGATGTTGGGTCAACTTAGATAGCTCCGTCGATTATAGTGATAGGAAGGAAGGGATTGGAGATCTTGCGTATCATGTTTCAATATAGAATGACTTGAAACCTCGCAAGTTGCGACTCTGGGCGAGCTCAGTTTGGCGAGAAAAAATTGACTGAATTACTCTCACACACTTTTTCCGGCGCCAACGTCAGCCAACAAGCTGCTGGGTGTAGGTACGCTGCGACTGATTCCGTTGAGGGTAGCTTAGGTACACGGGCTTCTCTCCTATCGGCCCCTTTTTAACTTGTACTTAAAATGAAAATTGTTTCCCGAGCCGACCAAGAATTGATCCGGGATTTTGGAATTGCATTTGTATGCAGTACGTGCACATATGCCGATCCCAGCAGTAGCAGGCCACCTGCTGGCCTCACTATGATGCAGATTTTTGTGCAACATTCATGTCCCAATTTCCCTTCTTGTTGGGACCTTAAGAGATGTGGCTGCGTGGACTTGAGCGTTCTCTGGCACATTCTGTACTCAATAAGACAGTAGAGCTTGACATAGTTTATTGGGGTCATATAGGTCATTCCAGGGAGACATTTTCTTCATTTCTCTATAAATCTGCGACAACGGACTCTTCCATCCTGCGATGAGAGTTGATGAGGTTATGCGCCTCGAGGAATTTGTCCACCAAACCTATTGAGCAGAGCCAAAGATAGAGCATCTCGGCACCATGGCCCCAGATGCAACGGATGAGTTCCTCAAATTAGTGTGTTATTGGCCAAAGCATTCGACCGCCGCTTGTAAGAAATGATCAATGAAAACTGAGAATCGCAGAAAACGGGCTTAAGTCCTTGTAAATGCAGGCCTAGACCAGCATGATGGTTTGAAAGGATGCGTCTTCATGACGTAGGCTGGGTTCGGTGGACGGCTCAAACCCTCCGCGACACGCGGGAAAAACGGCCAAGGAGTAATTTTTATTCAGTCTAATCCATGGTTTCCAACTAGAATGAGCACCATATGCCCCTGTGGTGTTCTTGTTCCTGGGAATCGCCTGTATAAAAATCGTTGTGATGTTTGACTGAGAACTTGGACAATTGCCAAGCTTCAGATGCTTTTGGTCACGATGCCATGAGCTGACATAAGCACGCGTCCAACCATTCTCCCGTCACATCGACTGCTTGCGCATCCCAACCTCTCACCTCTATTGCTGGTCTTATATTCTTATCCTGCTGTGTGGTTTGGCGCCGGTTATCATCTTCTTAGCGGAATCACGTTTTGTTTTGCTTGCGTCCCTTTCCTTCCGTTCTATTTCGAATACTGTCACGGGTTTGGGGATCCTAACGTCATCCAAACCCTCCACCGCTGCTCCTCAGATATTGAAATATTCCCTGTATCTTGATGATTTGACCCTCGTATAAAGGGCATCTACTTCAACAAGGTGGAGTTAGTGGTTGTGCTAGAATCTACGAATGCTCCTCCGGTGACTTCTGCCTGACGAAAATATCCAGCCATGCGCCTTGGCTGCTTGCCGCTCCTGGCAGGACTGGTAGCTGTTCAGTACAGCTCCGTCTTTGCCCAGGGAGGGACCAAGATTCACGAGGAGGGTCGCTGTGCGATTCGTGGCCACTGCGGCAAAAAGTCTTTGTTCGGTGGACAGTTGCCTTGTGTCGATAATGGATTTGCAAAAAAGCCAGCAGCAGTTACACGAGCGAAACTGGTTTCGCTATGTGGAGATAAATGGAAGACGGGGAATGTTTGCTGCAACGACGATCAGGTATGAATCCGTTTTTACGCTGATTAGGGGGATGTGACAGTTGACTTACGTTTGTTTGTTCTGCTTTTCCAACAGATTGCTGCTTTGTCCTCGAACTTGAAGCTGGCCGCGGGTATAATTGCCTCATGTCCCGCTTGCAAAGAAAACTTTTTCAACCTATTTTGTTCCTTCACATGCTCTCCGAATCAGTCGCTTTTTATCAACGTTACACAAACAGACAAGATTAATGGGAGGACAGCGGTGACAGAGCTGGATAACTTGTGGTCCGAGGGATATCAGACTGGTTTCTACGACAGCTGTAAGGATGTGAAAAACGGTGCTACGGGCGGCAAGGCAATGGACTTCATTGGTGGAGGAGCGAAAAATTATCTCTGTTCTTGAAATTTTTGGGCGATAAGAAGCTGCTGGGCAGCCCCTTCCAAATCAATTTTGTGACAGGATCAAAGGGACACGAGAATTTGGGGATGCGACCTTTACCAGAGATTCCAAAAACGTGCAGTGATTCGGACGAGAAATATCGGTGTTCATGCGTCGACTGCCCCGCTGTTTGTCCCCAGTTACCAGCGTTGACAGAGGAGAGCTATTGCCATGTTGGGTATTTGCCCTGTTTATCTTTCTCTGTCATAGTCATCTATTCGGTGTTTTTGCTGCTCTTAGTCGCTGGAACTCTTGGTCATTTCGCCTTCCGGAGACGCCAACAACGAAAACTGGAACGGGTCAGGCTCCTACAAGATACAAGCCCAAGTGATGACGAAGATGAAGGTGATCTCATTGACGATGCCGGCATTCTCGACCGCCCTCAAACCAGTTATAGGCTAAATTCTATTTTCGATGCGATGTTTAACCGCCTTGGTGGTGCTTGTGCTCGTTTCCCGGCATTAACGATAACGACAAGCATTATATTATGTGGCTTGCTAAGCCTGGGATGGCTACGTTTCGCTGTCGAAATAGACCCTGTCAAACTCTGGGTAAGCCCAGACTCAGCTGCTGCGCGGGAGAAAGCATTTTTCGACGAGAATTTCGGGCCTTTCTTCAGAGCCGAACAAGCATTTCTCGTTAACGATACCCATCCAAGCGGACCAGGGCCTGTTTTAAGCTACGAAACGCTCAGTTGGTGGTTCGACGTGGAGAGTCGAGTTCGCCGCATGATTTCGTTGGACAAGGGGCTCTCTCTGGATGATATTTGTTTTAACCCGACAGGGAAGGCTTGTGTTGTCCAATCATTGACCGGATATTTTGGAGGCTCTTTCGCCAATGTCGACCCCAACACTTGGGAAGCTCATTTGAAGCATTGCACAGAATCTCCAGGCTCCGTAGAATGCCTTCCAGATTTCCAACAGCCCCTAAAACCAGAAATGATTCTCGGTGGTTATGGACAGACCGATAACGTATTGAATGCCACCGCACTTGTTGTTACATGGGTGGTTAACAACCATGCCCCTGGCACAATAGCGGAGGCTGGAGCAATAGATTGGGAGGGTAGCTTAAAGAGAGTGCTCGAGGTGGTTCAAGAGGAAGCAACTGAACACGGTTTACGTGTTTCTTTCAACACCGAAATCAGCCTTGAGCAAGAATTGAATAAGTCTACGAACACGGATGCCAAAATTGTGGTAATCAGCTACGTAATTATGTTCGTCTACGCTTCGTTAGCTCTTGGATCTACAACTTTGACTTGGAAAAGCATCCTCAGCAACCCGGCAAATAGTCTAGTGCAGTCGAAATTTACTCTTGGTATCGTCGGTATATTGATCGTTCTGATGTCTGTCTCGGCTTCTGTTGGGATTTTCTCAGCAGCCGGAATCAAGGTGACGTTAATAATAGCAGAAGTGATTCCGTTCCTCGTCCTCGCAATCGGCGTCGATAACATTTTCCTTATCGTTCACGAATTTGAACGAGTAAACGGAAACCACCCAGACGAAGAAATCGATGAGCGCATCGCACGATCTTTGGGAAGAATGGGCCCCAGCATCCTCCTTTCTGCAACCACAGAAACAATTGCATTTGCGATGGGAGCTTTTGTAGGGATGCCTGCTGTCAAGAATTTCGCAGCCTATGCTGCGGGTGCCGTCTTGATCAATGCGTTATTACAAGTTACGATGTTTGTGTCCGTACTAGCACTGAATCAGAGACGTGTTGAGAGCCTCCGTGCAGACTGTTTGCCTTGCCTTACCGTCCGAAAAGCAAATTCGTCCAGTATCCCAGGCGGTCAGCCATACGACCACGCGGAGGAAGGCGCTCTGCAGCGTTTCATTCGAAAGATATATGCGACTCGTCTTCTTCAGAAACGGACAAAATTTTTAGTTGTGACTGTTTTCCTCGGAATCTTCACAGCCGGCCTTGCGCTACTACCAACTGTGGCGTTAGGTTTGGACCAACGTATCGCCATCCCCAGCGATTCATACCTGATTGACTACTTTAATGACATGTATGATTACTTTGGAAGTGGGCCTCCTGTCTACTTCGTGACGCGAGATGTGAATATTACCACAAGAAATCATCAGAAGCAACTCTGTGGAAGATTTTCAACCTGCGAGGAGTATTCACTGGGCTTTGTCCTCGAACAAGAATCCAAGCGTGCCAATGTTTCTTATATCTCAGGATCCGCAGCTAGTTGGATCGACGATTTCTTTTATTGGCTGAATCCTCACCAAAACTGCTGCAAGGAAGACGGACAAACTTGTTTCGAAGATAGGAATCCGCCATGGAATATTTCCCTCCATGGTATGCCAGAAGGATCCGAATTCATTCATTACGCACAAAAATGGTTGCAATCACCTACAGACGAGACATGCCCTCTCGGCGGTTTGGCTCCTTATAGCAATGCCCTAGTTCTCGATTCAAAACACGTCACGACAAACGCAAGCCATTTCCGAACGAGCCACACTCCCTTGCGTAGCCAGAAAGACTTCATCAAAGCGTATGCCTCCGCTCGTCGTATTGCTGACGGCATCTCACAAGAGCACGGTATCGATGTTTTCCCTTACTCCAAATTCTATATATTTTTCGACCAATATACGTCTATTATTCGCCTCACGGGAACATTGCTCGGGTGCGCAACTGCGATCATTTTTGTTGTCACATCTATTTTCGTCGGTTCTATAGCCACAGGCGCAGTCGTAACCGCAACAGTGATTATGACTGTTGTCGATATCATCGGAACCATGGCTATTGCTAATGTTTCACTAAATGCCGTCTCGCTGGTTAACTTAATTATCTGTGTCGGTATCGCGTTTGAGTTCTGTGCACATGTTGCACGCGCTTTCATGTTCCCTTCTAGCCCACTCTTGGAGCAGGCTCGAGGTAAATTCCGACATCGTACTGCACGCTCGTGGGTGGCACTGGTCAATGTTGGCAGTAGTGTATTCACTGGCATCACTGTTACCAAACTTCTAGGTGTCTGTGTGCTCGCATTTACAAGAAGCAAAATATTTGAAATCTACTATTTCCGGATTTGGCTGGCACTGGTAATATTTGCCGCGTCGCATGCACTGATATTTTTGCCAGTTGCCTTAAGCTTCCTTGGTGGTGACGGTGAGTTCTTTCCTGCTGTTAATTTGTGAATTTTGCGATGTTATGTACTGTATTTGTTCATCGAACTGATGCGATTTATGATATCCTATTAGGATATTGTGATCCTCAAACAGACGGCGGCCTGGAAGAGGACCTCGCCGCGCGAAGATACCGATCGTTGCTGCCCGATGACTATGATTCCGAGGACGACTCGTGAATTACTCTTCAGTGTATCTGATATGGATCGTGTTAATTCGCTTTATGGAGCAGTTGTTTTCCTTAATTGACCATTCAGACAACGTCCTTTATTCATCCGTTATTGAGATCATATTCATACACAAACCCGGTCACCATAGGCTTACAGGAGTATCGGAAACCCAAGGGAGTTTGGATGATGGAAGAACAATGGAAGAACCATGATTGATATTGGTTCCTGGTTCATGCACTGTATATGCAATGTGGTTTACCTTATGCAGGAACATAGTTCTTTTCTTCGCCCACGTATTGGGCTTGGACGTTCGGCAGCCCTTTCGATTTTGGATATTGGCGCTGGTAGTCGGCCCGCGCTTGTTTTTACAACACAATATAGACGCGGATATGCTGTTTTGCATGATATGACATCAATCTCATCTCGACAAAATGGCTCCATTGGTCTCCAATGATGTAAACAAAGCAAACAGCACTTCTCCCAAGCTTCACTAAAGTAGACTAGCGCCCGCCCAAAAGAAAAAAATACTACTCGACAATTTCAACATCCCACTTCAACATCCCTCGTTTTCTCTTCTTTGTCCCCTCTACAATTCTCTCTTTTCATCCTCTCTCTCTTCCCTCCTATTTAAGGCTTGGGAAGCGTTTTCAATAAGGGTAGTTGAGAGATCCTATACCAGCTGCCTGACTTTTCCATATATTCCTGATCCACTATCAAGGTTGTGCAAACGGAAAGCGAGAGTTGTCCATCATGGACCAGCAGCGATTCTTGCAGCAACTGCAAATTGTCCTCGATCGTGAGTAATTGAGCCAGATATATTTGTATGATATTGGAGAATATTACAGCACAGGATGTCTCTGACTTGCGTCGTTTTTATCGGTATTTGACAGCCTCAAAGGGCAACGTCAAGGAAGCTACAGGCACGCTTACGAAGGAATTCTATACCCACCCAGAATCCCTCCTTTTCCTCATTCAGGTCGCCACCTCCCATGATGACCAGAACCTGAGACAACTTGCTGCTGTTGAATCTCGAACCCTCGTCTACAAGCATTGGCTCAAGATCCCTGTGAAACAAAAACCTCAGGTTAGGGAACAGTTACTCCGTGCTGCCTTAGGGGAAGGCACCTCCTTGGTTCGCCATTCCTGTGCACGTATAATTTCTGCTATTGCGAAGATTGATATCGAAGACGGGCAATGGGCAGATCTCCCGGGGTTTCTGCTTCAAGCTGCCGTAAGTCCCAATGCTGACGAGCGGGCTACTTGTATTTACATCCTCTTTACCATCCTCGAAACTCTAGGTGAGGGTTTCCAGGAAAAGTTCAACGACCTCTTCGCTCTGTTTGAGCAGACTATCCGTGATCCTGAGAGTGCTGAGGTCCGCATCAACACCCTCCTGGCATTGAGCAAACTGGCGATCCATCTCGACTCCGAAGAGGATGAGGCACCGGTCAAGGCTTTCCAGAATATTTTCCCTGCCATGGTCGCTGTGTTGAAAGATTCGATTGACAAAAACGACGAGGATCGGATTCTGCAGGCTTTTGAGGTCTTCCAAACCCTCCTTGCGTGCGACCCGCAGTTGATGAACCCTCATCTTAAGGACCTCGCGTTGTTCATGAACCAACTTGCTGCCAACACCGAGTTGGATGATGACACCAGAACTCAGGCCATTAGTTTCCTCATGCAATGCCTCCGGTATAGAAAACTCAGAATCCAAGGCATGCAAATTGGCAGCCAGATTACCCTTACTTGTCTTCAGATCGCTACTGAGCTTGGCGACACTGCCGTCGACGACGATGACATTACTCCAGCAAGATCGGCGCTTGGTCTCCTGGATATGCTTGCACAAAGCCTTCCACCCAGCCAGGTTGTCGTCCCTCTCCTCAACGCCCTGGGTCAATACTTTGGCAATAAGGATCCCGAATATCGGCGCGCCGGCATCATGGCTCTTGGCATGTGCGTCGAGGGAGCTCCTGACTTCATAAGCACTCAGATGAAGGAGATTTTCCCTGTCGTGTTCCAATTACTTAATGACCCTGAACCTAAGGTTCGCCAGGCAACATTACATGGTGTTGCGCGAATTGCCGAATCTCTCGGTGAGGATATCAGCAAACAGCATCAACAAGTTATGCCTCTCCTCTTGACAAACCTGCAGAGCACAATGCAGGAGTGGAAAGGCGAGGAAAGCGGCCCTGTCATCGACATCATGAAAGCCGCCATCAGCGCATTGGATGCGGTGGTTGATGCTCTGGGCGAGGGTGACGTTGTCCAATATCAAAACGATGTAGTGCCAAATTTGCACAAGCTTATCAAACATCCCGACTTCAAGGTGAAAGCGCTTACAGCTAGCGCTCTTGGATCCATTGCTTCGTCTGCTGGTGAAGCTTTCTTGCCCTTCTTCGATGAGTCAATGCATCTCATGCAGGATTACGTTACCATGAAAGACAGTGAAGATGAGCTTGAACTTCGCGCGTGTGTCACTGACGCTATGGGAGAAATGTCTACTTCAGCTGGACCAGAACACTTCAAGAACTACGTCGAACCCTTGATGCGTGCTAGTGAGGAGGCTCTGCAGCTTGGTCATTCCAGACTAAAGGAAAGCACCTACCTTTTCTGGGGCTCTATGTCCAAAGTATACGGTGAAGACTTCACTCCATTCTTGGATGGAATCGTCAAGGGACTCTTCGCATGTCTTGACCAGGAGGAGACTGATCTTGAGGTTGATCTGGGCGAGGCTGCCAAAGACCTCATTGGGCAGGAAGTTACCATTGCAGGCCGCAAGGTTCGCGTCGCTGGTGATGAAGACGACGACCATGACACTTCTGTGTTGGATGAGTCTAACATTGAGGATGTCGATATTGATGGTGAGGATGACTGGGAGGACCTAACCGCTGTCGGTCCTCTTGCCCTTGAGAAGGAGGTTGCCGTCGAGGTCATTGGTGATATCATCACGCATGCCAAAAAAGCTTATCTTCCATATTTTGAGAAGACTATCGAACAGATCTTGCCTCTTTGCGAACATCCATATGAGGGTATCCGAAGGAGTACTATCAGCACCCTTCACCGCGCGTACGCTGCCCTCTGGCAGGTTTGTGAAGAGTCTGGTCGGATGCAGAAATGGGTTCCGGGCAAGGCGATGGGTATGATCGAACCACCCGATGAGCTCAAGAAACTTACAGAAATTTTGGTCACTGCCACAATCAAGATGTGGGAAGATGAAGAAGACAGGTACATATACAACTATTTTCCCTTTTATTATCTTTTTCAACCTTTCATCGCCTTTATAGCGCTTTTCCTTGCAAATATATCCTCTATGATGACATTCCTTCGTAATCCCAGCTCACTCATACACACAAAATGTGTGACTGATGTTAAAGCGAAAACTTCCATCGTGAAGCTGAGAAATATATAATTGCTTGTATTTCAATGTGAACATATGTTGTTTCAATTTACCGGATTTTATCTGTTTCAAGAAATCTATTCGCCTACTAATATTGCTGTTTGTTTAGGGAGACCGTTGCTGACATTAACCGCAATGTCGCTGACAACCTCAAATATTGCGGGCCATACCTTGTCTCTGGTTCATCCGTTCTGAACAAAGTCGTTACTATGATCACTACTATCATCTCTAAGCAACACCCCGCTCAACAGGATTTCGGTGCTAATGACGAAGACCGAGCTGCCCTCGACGAACTCTCTGAGTTCGATTGGGTTCTCATCGACACTGCCTTGGACGTTATTTCCGGTCTTGCCATTGCCCTTGGCCGTGATTTCCTTGGCCTATGGCCTCACTTCGAGAAAAAAGTTCTCCAGTATGTTGGCAGCAGCGAACCTCTCGAACGATCCACCGCCACAGGGGTCTTTGGCCGAAATTATTTTCGGGTTAGCCGACGCCATTACGCCGTATACTACCAAATTCCTTGAGTTGCTACTGCGCCGTTTAAGTGACGAGGATTCCCAAACAAAAAGCAATGCTGCCTACGCGATCGGACGACTTGTCGAACGATCTAATGCGGATCAAGAACTAATTCAGGCTTATCCCGCCATCCTAGAGAAGTTGGAGCCATGCTTGCATATCCCGGAGGCGAGACTTCCAGATAACGCCTCTGGTTGCCTCAGCCGCATGATCTTGAAGCACCGTGACAACGTCCCTGTGGCAGATATGCTTTCTGCCCTAGTTGATCTCCTTCCCCTGAAGAACGATTTTGAGGAGAACGACCCCGTCTATCGCATGATTTGCCAGCTGTGTATGTTTCAGTTTCCCCTCTCCTTTCAAACTGACACATGTCCTCTAACAGGATTTTCAGACAAATGTGAAGACCCAACAGTCCGCAACCTGACACCTCGTCTAATTCCCATTTTCCAAGCCGTTCTTACCGGTGACTCAGGCCAGCTCGATGATGAACGGCGTGCCGAGCTCATCGAGCTTGTCTCCTGGTTGAATAAAATGCAACCCGGAGTGGCTAGCTGGATCGAACAACTGGGTCAATGAACTTCCCATTTTAACGACTTCGAGAACGAGAACGAACAACGATATGGTACAAATAGATTTTTTTTAATTCCCTTTATTTTTTGCTTTTTATGTTTCAACGAAATGCATTATGATGTAGATACAAAAACACCCTCTTCGGTTTTACTGCTGGCGCGCACGCTAAGCGGATGATGTGCTAAAATGAGAATGTGTATTAACACGGATTGGAATGGGAAGGACTGGAATCCAGAACATTGGGTATAAGAGATATAATGTCGGCATAGTGACGACGGATGAATGGATGGATATTCGAATGAAGAGAAGTAATACACAACTATATACCCCCACGGTGAAGTGTGCATGAGGCAAACAAGGGAGAACCATAAGACTGTGGATAAAAGCATATACTTTACAGAGCATGATAATTTCAGATGAAATTTCCTTTTACATATTTGATTTCAGAGCTTCCTGTTCAGATCAGGTGGTGTTGAGCATGTATCGGCTGAAATCATAGGATTTTGAGTTATTCGTTACTACATAATTGGGGGCAGTAGCAATCCTATCTTATTACCAATTATAATTTAACCGTGTAAATTACATAAAAAACATCCAATGAATGAAAATATCAGCCAGCTGTCCTACGAAGTGGTGAGATGGTCAGGGAATAGGAAAGCTCCAAAGAGTCCTCTTTGCGAGTGCGCTCCTAATGCCCGCATCTCCCTGGTGGCATCTAGATGTCCTGGACCTTTACAATGACCTTCCCCTGTAAGTGTTTCGTCATACTCTTCCCATAAGCCTGCATGCGAAACGAGCGATGTCAGCCAAGCCAGCAACCCCCTTTCTAGCGTAGATTTAAATGGAAATTCGCACGTTTTTCAATATGACAACATACATACCTTCATCACATCGCCCATCTCCCAAGTCGAATCCACAACAGCCTTCAATTTCCCATCCGCCACCATCCTCTGCACCTTCTCCATCCTCATCTTTGAGGGCCCTGTCCTGACAAGAGAATAGCCGCCGGGGCCCCCGCCTAGGAATCTGGGGAAATACATGGCCCTCAGAAACCAAATGGCTGTACGGAAGAGACTGACGACGGTTGTAGGTGGGTAGAGAATCCCGATGTTGAGGTATCTATGCGGGCGGTCGCGGGTGGGGCGGGCAACATAGTCGGCACTATGTTCGAAGAGCGACTGGATGCCGATGGTGTCCAGGATGACATCGAAGGGAGAAGTGGAGTAGCGGGCTGCGAGGTATTCATGCAAAGGATCGTGCTGGGTATAGTCGATGGTCTGTTCGAGATATTAGAAGAAGTAGTTTGCCGGGTTATGCGAATGGCTACAGCTCCCATTTTCCATTTTTCGTCTTGACAGTGCATACCTCATCAGCCCCCATGCTCTTAACCAACTCTTCATTCCGCGCAGAGCAGGTCGCCACGAGCATGCCTGTTTCACCCAGAATATCCTTCACAATTTGCACAGCCATCAACCCCGTCCCCGAACCACCGCCATTGATCAGGACCTTATCCCCCTTCCTCACCTCCGCTCTCGTAACAAGATTCATCGATGTACATCCTGTGGCTGTTATTCCCGCCGCCTCCTCAAGAGATACATTACTAGGCTTCTGGACCAGGCTCTCTGCCGTCGCAACGACGTATTCCGCTAGTGTGCCACGGTTCTTGAGGACCATTTCGCTAACAGGTTCATTCATGCCCATGACTGGGGTGCCGAGTGGGAATTCCGCGCGGAGGGACGCATTTGCATTATCAGAATGCGCGATGACGACACCTGAGAACTCAAATTCGGAGACCCGTGGTGGCGTCTTCGGGAGTAGGATGGTTGGACACGCGGACATAACGAGCCGTGTGGTAGGATTTATGGAGGCATGGGAAACTTTTATGAGGAGCTCTGAAGGGGCAAGTTTTGAGGGAGAAGGGACCGGGTGGTCTGTGGATAATGTGAGGGTATCCAAGGGAGAGCCAGCTTTCGAGTAGGTCCATGCCTTCATTGTTGGCGGAAGGGGAAGTGGATAGTCTGCAGGATCACTGCTCGATGGAGCCATAGGGGGAATGGGTATCTGGATCCGTTGACTGTATCACGTATGCTCTGACAGTTGTTGGAGTACTAGTAGTACTCGGAGAGCTCAGAAGGATTTGGATATAAAAGCAACATTTCTCGGTGGAAGAAATATTGAACAAAGGAAAATTGGGCCCATCAAGGTATATTTATCTCACCCCTTTACATTCTACATCATCCATTCGGCATTATAAGTGAGTTCGGCCACGTTCATATTCGGAGATATGGCCATTTGACGAATTGTGACGCCCACAGAAGGGCGGAACCAACACTTAGGAGAGAGCTCCGAAAGGCGAGCACTATACATATTCCATATGCTCCAAAGCGTCGGCCGTAGCCAGTGCATTGCCTCGGTATCCCAGTTGGCAATGCGCAGAGGGAAAACCTCATCGAGAGCAAGTCTCGAGCATAAATTATTTAGGGTTTTCGGCGCCAAAATAGGGGGCGATCCGGCAGAAAAGATACATGCAGCAAGCACCGAACCACCGGCTTGCATCGACCGCCGAGTGGATTTTAGCACGTACTGGATGGCTGGTCTGCTTTCCGTGGGGGGGACCTATCAATATGGAAGAACATAGGTCGGAGGTCATTCGAAAGACCGATCCCATCTGTAGACCGTAAACTTTCGGTCCGCTGCTTGCTGGCAGGCCACATAGTGCCGTTTCGACCAGATATCTGAAGTTCCTGAACGCATAGTTATCTTTGTCTCGTGCTAGGTGTTTATCAATCTTCGGAGCTTTCGGCTGTAGTAGAGAAACAGTAGGCTGAATCATTGAGCATTCGTCTCTGGGTGAGTTTATGCCTCACTAGTCTATTATTGCATAGTTATTTAATGGGAGACCAGTTGAGCATGCCGTCTTAGATTGAGCGAATGTATTTATCGACTCATATGTCCAGAAGATGGTCTCACTATATTTTTAAGTTACCAATCTCGAGTCTTTTGTTTGAACCTCGGAACATCCTTATATAGAAATATTCTACAACTTAACTAGTTATCCCGCTGAGTGGATTATCTGAAAGTCCTTGATCTCTCTCAACTCCGTGAGTTGCCTGGTGAAAATATGACTTCATTGTATTCAACCACTCAAGCAAACGCTCTCACCATCCGTGAGAAAGCACTCTATTATGCTCTTATTCCAGTATTTGGTAATTAAATGATCAACTTGAACCTACCCAGTCGGACGGCCATTTACTGCGTTATAATTGCAAACATGCTGACGGGGAATGATAGTAATTCGGCTTTTACTTGCAATTGCGTTCACAAACAAGATAAACAAATCTCTCCATTGGCGCCAAAGGCTATCCATCACCTATCTCCAAGTGCAAACGGCTACATTTTCCTTCCACCAGCTGACCCATGGCCTTCGAAACAATCCAACAGGGTCGGCAATCAAGAGTTACTGCACCAGGCACAGAATCCCGCTTAAAACAATACTCGTGAACCATACTACCCCCGCTAAGAGCAAAGTAGACTTAAGTGTATATGCGCCACCGCCAACCTTGCACTTTGCCACGCCCCCCTCAGCCACCGCAGATGGGCCAGTGTTGCTGTATTTCCATGGCGGTGGCTATGTCAACCCTCTCAGGGCCATTGCTCATATACCGTTTGTCCTTCGGTGTGTCTTCCTCGAGTATGCTCTAGCCCCGGAGCATCGATACCCAGTTCAACTTGTTCAAGCAGTGTCTGCGCTTCGGTACCTTCTAATGGACTTGCCATTGCGAGCTGAAGACATCATACTTGCTGGAGACAGCGCGGGCGGCCACCTAGTGGGCTCGTTGTTGGCGCACATGGCCAAAACATCGCCGTACGCTGCACCACTAGATATCAACGGTGGCAGGTTTAGAGCAGTGCTGTTTGTGAGCCCTTGGACTACGATGAAGGTGGATCAAGGGAGCTATGAGACGAATGCTGAGAAAGACTATATCAATCGGACCGGAGTGTCCTGGCTTAAGGGATTGTGGATTCCTACCGAGGAAGATGTATGGGCAGATCTATGCGAAGGGGAAGGCGCTGAAGATGTCTGGAGTCAAGTGTTTCCGTCACCGAAGGGATCGCCAGGTCTGGTCAAGAATGCGATGGTGACAGCAGGCACGGCAGAAGTTCTTCTGGACAGTTGCAGGAGGTTCGCTAGGGATTGCGTAAGGGCACAGACTGTTGCCGGCCGGCGTGAAACTGATTGGAGTGTTCTTGACGGGAAGGACTTCATTTTTGTAGAGTGCGAGGGGGAAATCCATGTCCAGCCCGCCCTAGATGCCGCGTTAAGGTATCATGATGGAGTCACGATGCGAGCAATCCTAAGATGGCTGGAAAACGTATAGTGGATCCCGTAGATCATTCTGGCGACTAAAGATATATCATCAATAAATACAGATTACTCATGACCTGTCTCCTTTGTGGCTTTTACATGACATCCCAAACTAGCAGAGCAAGCAGAGAACATGAATTTCCAGTCGTCTGCGTCAGAGGTATTGTCCCATGTCAGGAGGGCATGTTGGTCCTATGAGAACAATAAAACTCTACTCGTGATCAAGGAAGAGAAGATTCGGATGGTTCTAAATAACGCCCTAACAAGCCACCGTTATTTAAGTCGCATTCTCTAAATTGCATTTGGCGGCTTGCCCATTTTGAGCTTTCAGGCTGGCCGCTACTTATATCATACCTGGTGCCGCAGTGCAAGCCGAAATGCTGGCTGGATTAGTAGTCTTCTCGGCGAGTTGGCCCATAAATAACCTTGGAAATAGAATCCATGGGTGTGGAAGTCACATGGCGTCGCATCCACACAAGCTTTTGAAGGCTGAAACGGCGGAGAAAGTGATAATCACTACTTAGTCGTGGTTACTACTCGAATATCCCATTCAGCTCATTGACACGCTCTGGTATTTTATCAAACCCGTCTCGCACAACCGGACTCGGAACAAAGGTTAGCAGGTGTGTAGATACAAATACATTTGGGATGGATATCCCTCTCTCTCTAAAGACCCCCGAGTCGTCATGAGTAGTAAATAGTTGCGTGGAGTACACGTTGCGAGACCCCACCGCTGACATTCCCTCTGCAGGAAAGCACTCCAGCCGAAAATCTATCATCAAACCTACACCGCGACATAGAACCCGCGCCCTACACAAAAATCCTGAAACAATGGCCTCAACCAGCGGCTCTCAACTCGTCAACCATACTCTTCCCACTTCTGCCAGCTCTGCTACATCGACCATTACCAAGCCCGTCAAGGGAACCACCAAGCCCTGCTTTAGTTGCGGCTGCGGTGATGAAGATTGTGATTGCTTCGTCTGTATCGTTATGTGAAAACGCATTACAGATGTGATTGAATGTGAACGGGCTTCAAGATATTGGCCCCCTCTCTCGGCTTGGACATTTTCTGATTCAGAAAAGTCTGGTTGTGGGTGTCACCGAGAAAACTGGAGTTAAAACTACCCCCAGTTTGAGTGGAGAGGTTGATATTTCTTGGGAGGTTTCATGTGTCATTGAGTGTCAAATTATGTCTGATTTTCTTTAAGGTCGTTCGATTTTGTTTCATTTAAGCAAGCGAAATTGTTTGAACAGAGGATGTTGAAAGCAGCAGGATATGATCGCACCCTAATTTACTATAAGACACCATACAGTTTACCAATTTATGTTTTGATGCACCCAGATATGATCCCAACTATTAAACAGATCGCACCTTAACCTTGGCGGCAAAATGCTTGGATATGCAAGTAAATAATAAGAAAATCGAGCAGGAAGGGAGAACAAAAGAACAATCTACGAGGATGAAGGCGAAACTTATGAACCAGCAACACCAGCGAAGAGCACAAATGCCTGCAGAGCCCTCTGGCGATCAGTCTCCTTCTTCAACATCAGCAGACAAGTAGCCACAATCAACGCTTCATCTATCACTTCGGATGCATGTTGATCAAATACAAGCTCTCCACCGTTCCCTGCTGTACACCTTGACGTCTTAGGTGGCATTGTCTGTTTATTCCGCAGCAGGTGTGCGACTCTTCTGCGGCCGGCAACTTCCAGCTTCTCCAGCACAACAAATTTTTCCTTCTTCCCATCTGGGCCACGTTCCTTTACATACCTCCATTCGAAGGCGGACCCATCCGGTGCAGAGAAGTTCGTCGTTCGGGACGTGTATTTCCCTTGGGCTTTCATCTGCGGAGAAGATTTCTCTGACGCATTTAGAAGATGAATGAAAGGTTCCCTACTGGGGCCGCAAAAGTATTCGGTGAATATTATTTCGCCGCGCTCGGGCGATGAGAGAGTCGAATTGCCCGAGAAGCGTTTCTTGCGTGTGGATACGTATGCGAGCGACCCATCTGAGTTATAAATGTGGATTTCGAGTTGTGAGGGTGGGGTGGGTAGACGCAGAAGTGCCTTTCCACGAGCGTCAATGAGTAGAGAGCGACCGGGTATGAATGAGCCTGGGGTATCGATCAGCGTCTCCGCAGTTTCAGTAGAGCTAATTGAAACTGCAGAGCTCTTGAGGGTTTCTTTCTCCTTTGCTAGAGGGGCGCTGTCTATGAGAGGATTGTCCAATGACATCATGAGGATCTTTAGGAGAGCGCAATTCAAAGAGAGAACTATTCTGAGATAGAGAGTAGGAAAGGCGAATACACCCCTATGTAGAAATCTGTACTATGGTGGAGGAGAGCTAATTTGAGAATCATCCCCTGCTGGACTGAGGCGAGCATGTTATATACACTCGTATCACTTGTCTGTGGGATCGCCTAAAGTTTGTTGGAAGGATATCAGTTCGCCCACCAGCTGGCAATCCAACCACATTTATCCTGGAGCCTGGAGAATGATTTCATCGTATTCTTTCTGCGTATCCTCCGCTGCTGAAGTTTGCCGCGCTCTTATGTCATCGTGTCGATGAATTAAACTATTTCCCGATGGGGAAAAATCTCGTTTTCCTCAAACTTTAATTTTGTGAGGCTGATCCCTGATGATGCAACTGAACCGATATCCAGACGTCCAATAAAGGATTTAATCACAACAATATTCTCACGACTATTTTGCCAGATGCGACGGCGGGGCTGGGTCACCAAACTCGAAGACTGGCTATCCCCGGTAAGATTGTTCAGTCGCTTTTGGTGCTATCAAGACCTCCATTACGAGTTCAATGTTTAATCTTGTTTACAGGATCAAAATAAGTGGATGGTTGCGCAGTCTGCCCTTGTATTAGGGAATGCCACGAGGAATCTATTATCTGCCGTCTCTACCAGATTGGTGTTGGTGGTTGGATAACAATCGGCGCTGTGTCCACGTGTGAAATATTGTTAAACAAACTACTCCGCACAGCAGTAAGGCTTGGTTCAAACCCTTGTCCAAACCATGCCGCTGATCAAGCGCGCCATTTGGCTTATATCCGTGCCTATTATCTTTCTGCTAGTATTGCTCGCGCTACGGCTGTCCGTGTTGAATACTTACCTTGATGTTGAAGATTTGTGCTACCGTTGGTTCCCTTTTATCTCATGGCAAGTCATCCTCCCATCATGGGCTCGTGTAGCGGTTGTTCTAGGGGGCACGGAGACACCAGCTGTGACTCTTCGCCAAGGCACTGTAGTTGGGAAGGTTCTCAGAGACAATCTACCAAAGCCCGTTGAGGCGTTTCTTGGAATCCCATATGCGCTGCCACCGACGAACGAAAGGAGATTCACTCCTCCAGTGCCCGTCCATGCGTCTAATGATGCAATCGATGCCACAAGTTATGGCAAAAGGTAAGGCTAGAAATTTAACTAAACCTTTCTTTCGGGCCTCTTAAAGTCAACAGACGTCAGTTCTAATCAATAGAATAGATGTGCATCACCTCCGCTTTTGTTTTATGGATGGTCTGAAGATTGTCTGACCGTGAATATATTCCGCCCTCGGATGCAAAATAAGACGAACAAATTACCAGTAGCAATATATTTCCACGGTGGCGCTTTTAATCTTGGCAATGGTGTGTTCATCTACTTGTCCATCTGTTCAAGTTTTACATTGAAGTGAGAGCTTATCCTACGATAGGAGGAAGTCACAACTCCGCCTCGATGATGGCGTGGTCCGAAAAGCCATATATTGCGGTGAACTTCAATTACAGGTTAGACTGCAGAATATTTGTTTGTGTGGTTTTTCATGCGCTGACCCCTTTCACAGACTTGGTGCATTTGGCTTCCTATCATCGAAAGTTGCAGCCAAGGGAAATGCACTTAACGTAGGTCTACGCGACCAAAACCTCTTATTGAGATGGGTGCATGAAAACATTGAAGCTTTCGGTGGCAATCCAGACGACGTCGCCCTGTTTGGACTATCAGCTGGAGCACATTCAGTATGAACTATCAGATCAGCAACGTCTTGTAAGAACATCCACTAACATCGTCAGATCGGTCACCATGTCATGCATTATGAGGAAGGAATGCCGTCACTTTTTCGCCGAGTCATTATGGAATCTGGAGCAGCAACGTCTCGTGCCGTTTACCCCTATAACCACAGTCTCCACGAGCTTCAATTTAAAGAATTTCTCGTTGAGGCTGGCTGCTCTGGTTTGGAGGAAGATGGAATCATGCCGTGCCTACGAAGCAAACCGGCACTAACCATTGCTTTGGCCTCATCCAAGATCTTCTCCCGCTACGAGTCTTCAGATCGCTGGGCGTTCCAGCCAGTCATCGACGGCGATATCATCAAACAAGCTCCTATCCAAGCCTGGAAAGCTGGTAACTGGAACAAAGTCTCAATCCTCACCGGGTTCAACACGAATGAAGGTACCTCCTTTGTTCCCTCAGAGATGTCCGAGTCAGAGGAATTCATCAACTTTTTCCGCTTGCTCATTCCAGCCATGCCCGAAAAGGACCTCGAGAAGCTTGACCAGTTATACCCAGATCCGCTAAAGTACCCATCCTCTCCCTATGTGGAGACCCGAAACATAAGAGTAGGCGCTCAGTTCAAGCGTGTCGAGGCCGCTTACGGTAATTTCGCTTATATATGCCCTGTTCGGCAAACTGTCCACCACGCATCGGCGGGACAGCAAGCGCCAGTATATTTGTACCACTGGGCTCTAAATAAAACCGTGAAGGGTGGTGCAAGCCATGCGGACCAGACCGAATACGAAACGTATAGCCGCGGCGTGCGGCAGATTTCCGCTGCCCAGAAAGAAATTGCTGGGACACTGCATGCATATTTCACGTCCTTTCTTACTACTGGTGATCCTAATGATGTCCCCGGAAGATTTCCGGATAGACCTGAGTGGAAGTCGTTTGGTGGTAGGTGGTCGAAGAAAAATAGGACTCTTATGCTATTTGGTGAAGGGAATGATGAGCGGGCCGGAGGCGGTGGGATTGGGATTCCAGCACAAATAGCAAATGATGTGTGGAGTCAGGATGAGTGCGAGTTTTGGTCGAATAGGAGTATTTTGACGGAATCTTGATACTCTGCACTACGATCATCGGGAGGCTAGTGTAGGCTGGACAGGCGGTTTTCGGATTTATTCACCAATATTTTTTCGGGGCATACGGACATCTACTTCAATATATATCTACATATCTATCTATCGACAATATACTATATTCCCTTCATTCCGCGGTCACAATCAAAGGAATTCTACATGCTCAATCCAATCAATCATATCAGAACCAAAGCGATAGGAAAATCTAACATTTTAATAACCAATTTATCCCCTTGACAAAGCGCCTGCTTGTGCCTGCACTTCAACCCGCTTATCCTTCCCCGTCAATAGCGTGCTAAGGACTGTCGCACTACCAACATTCACGTCGTCAACATTCAGCCACCCCAGAGCTTGCACAGGAATTAAAATGTCACATCCAAGGATTACAAGTTCTGTCAACAGGTGGACGGTGTTCATATTCGCATTGCTTTTCTATTCCCCACTTTGGAATCCCCTTTTTCGTCTTCCTGTTTGACATTGACGGGCTTCGCCTCTTGACCTTCGGGCAAAGAGGGTGACACTAATAATTGCCATAAAATCTTCACGCTAGAAAAAAGCATGGAATATAACCAGAACCTGTAGCTTTCGAGAAGGACCTGTTCAGCCCATTGAGTTGGATGAATGTTTAGGGCGTCGAGCTGGAGATCAGTTTTTGGTTAGTAGGTAAAATTGGGGCTTGTTTAATCGTTTTCATAATGATATCATTGCCCACGATTACTAGCCAGATGATGTAGAATGAAACAAAGTCTTGTTCTTGTTATTGGCGCTGGATACGCTAACTAACAAATGCCCATCGGCGCGCTTTTTACTCCGCACTCTCAGTATTTGTCCCGGCAGCATTTCGGACTTTGTGATAGGGCTGGAAAGATTAATTGCGGGGACTGCCTGCAGGCTGGAGAAGGAATTACGCATGCTGCTGGGTCAGCTCTATACAGAAGCGGAGCGGTTGCTTAAATAGAGCATTTACCTCGAAAAGGCGTGCTGGACGGCAATGGATAAATCGAATGATATCGTTACTCTATCTCCCTTAACTAAATCGAATATTTCTATTTACTCAAGAAAAGAGCGAAAGAGAAAGATGAAGCTTCTCACACGCCACCGGTCCCTCTCTTGGCCTTTCTCTACCGACCCTTCCCACCTGAAATATCTTGCCCGAGTCTATACCCGCCCACTTTCTCCCACTCTACCTTTTGCCGCGTAATAGGTAATTGCCTGCGGAGGCCCTTAAACGCCCCTTCCGATAATCTGCTAAAAGCGTCGCTGAGTTCGAGCTGCTGAGCTCGTTCCGCCGCAGCGATGCGTTTGATAACCGTATCCGCGGAAGAATTGACAGGGAGGGATATCGAGATGGGTTTTGTGGTGTTTAGGGATACATTGCCATCTTCGTAGTAATGGACGTTAATGTGGATAGTGCCGGTTATTGTGTCTGTGGAGGGGGCGGGAACTGTGTAAATGGCTCGGTATCGGCCGTTCCTGTGTGTAATGATTCCCTGGTCAGCTTTTGTTTTGATAACATTAAGATGTCGATATAACTGTTGACAAAACAGAATCCATCCGTGCGCAGGATGTAGATAGAAGAACGACATACCAGAAATTATTTGGAGAATATTTGTTCGCGACTAATAGGATAGCAACAGTAGAGTCATCGTCCGTTGGATATACACCGTACGAGCAACTTGGATAATGCTCTCTAGCATGTGCTGAGAGTGATTTCAGGAGCGATTTACTTCACAATCGTCAAAATAAATAGACGAAATGAGAAGGGAGAGAATTACATACATCAAATCGGAATGCCGCGACTCCAGAACATATGATTGTGGCGACGAGGCAGTCTACTCATCCACATGATTGATATCGTCAGCCAAAGACAAACGTTTACGGAACTCGCAGCCGCGCGCGCCAGCATAAGGTATATAAGTAAGGGACATATACGAACCTGAGTGACGTGATCAAATTGAAATGATGTCTGAGTCTGTACATCGTAGTATCGATTGCCATCAAGCTTATTATATGAACTAACGATAACCTAAAAGCTCACGGGAATGGTCAAAAACCCCGACGAATATAAAAGGACAACCCTTGAAAGTTGTTGGATTCCAATTCCGTAGCTAAACGATTGAGAGTGCATATACCTCTTCACTGCCTCCAGGCAGCTTCACAGTCGCTAGTTGTTCCTCATTGTATTTCTCGAAAGCAGGCGCAAGCGAAGAAATGAGCGCCGGTCCATCAGGGGTTAATGCTTTTATATCTGCGATTTTCCAAAGGAATTATGATACGATCAGCTATCTGGAAACCGGGGAGAACGGAGAGAGCGACTTTGAGGAAGCATATATATAGTATAAGCGTGAGGCGAGAAGCAGATTTGTGGGGTGCGGTGGAAGGGGGAAAGGCGGGGTGGGGTATATTGGAGATTGTTTGATATGCTAGGTACCTGCGACAACGTCCGAGAGCTATCCATCACGAAATTAGAATATTTGACACGTAAGATGGCTGTAATTCAGTAAGACATAAAGACAATAGATCATTCATACCTCTCCTGGTGGAGCACCTCGAATAAATGAAGATGCAATCTCGAGGTTCGACGGCATGATGAAGCGACAGCGCACGGGAGCGGGGTATAACGAGTGCAGATGCAAAGCGAAGCAGTAATGTGGTGTAAAATATCAAGGAATAATTGGTTATAATGAACTGAGCTAGTTTTAAAAGGAGGAAAGATATATACTAGCTATTGCGAGTAATAATCATGGAACTCCCCGCCCGTTTTCTGTCCAGGCGCTAGATGGCGAAACGACTAACGCAGCCGCCATGACATAAGCGCGATAGCCGCAGCCTCCGCCAAAGTACGAGGTTTGATAACCTTTTGCATGACAATATATATGTATATATAGTGAACAGCGGCAGTATATTCTAAAGAAATCAATTTAACAAGAGTATGGTGGAGCCTTCTGTCCGCGTTGTGTGATAAAAAGAAAAAGGAGGAAATCATTTGTCTTGACAGGTAAAGGATACGAAACACAACCGGAAGAAACCCAGAAGCTAAATATGTTGAACAAGAGGAATGCTGCATAATGGAAATTAGGCCACAAGAAAGAAAAATATCCCGAGTGCGCCTCCGCTAAATACGCATATGAAGTAAATAAAAGAAAATGAGATGAAAAGAGAATCGTAACGACACAGAAGAATAGAATCTCAACACCCGGAGACCGCAGTTCAATCAATACTCATATTCATCAATCCATCATTTGTCTCTTTCATCCCCTGCATCCCAACTCTCTTCATAGTACTACCCTCTGTCACTCTCCCAGTCTTTCCAGTTGTCGGTGTCGATGTCGAAGTCAGGGGATTTTTCGACTGCAGCTGCGTCTGAGCGTCACCTTCTGCTCGACTGCTAAGTTCCTTGCTAAGTTTCTTGCTCAAATACGAAGCAGAAGATCCCGATGAGGAAGGCTGAGAGGCCGCGACGGGGTAATTCTGCACATACATCCCTGGCGAAACTGCCCGCCGCTTGAACGCGTTCATATCGATCATCTCATCGTGTCTACGTTTTTTGTTTGTGCGGGACGCTTCCGTTTCGATGCGTGAAGGGCCGGCAGCGGCGGAAGGTTGCGGCGCGTTGTTACTGGTGTGTTGGTTTGCCAAGACGCCCGGGGATGTAGATGGGGGTGTTTGTATCGTTGTATCGGAGGTAGAGGTGGAAGTGAAGGGGTTAATGGGTTGGGTTGTCGGCGGAGGTGGAGTTTGATATCGGTTATTAAAGGCACTTAAACGGCCTATACCACTGGATGGATGGCTGGTAAATATGCTTGATGACGACCCTTCCCCCGTGAACCGGGTGGTGACAATGTCCCTTGCATCATTGGGATTAATGGAATCCGACGAGTCTAGAGGGGATGTTAAGGAAGGTGAGAGCGGGGGTAATTCACCGCCTTCGCTCTCGCGAACCTGCCGAATGACTTCAGCCTCCCGCTGGCACTCGAAATCAATCGGGGCTACTTCTTCAAGCAGTGCCGCCCGGATCCGGGCGAAGTTCTTCGTTTTAGGCTTTTTCATAACGCATTAGCAGATCAAATCTTCCAAGATTAGTAGCATGGTGCAACTGTACCAGTAAATTTCCTCTCCTCGTTACAGGACGTCGAATTACGCCGTGAGGCCCGCTTTCGATACTTGTTGTCCCCGGTAAGGGAGCGCTGCTGGACGGGCTACCAAACCGAGCTAGTCGATTATCATCATCGCTCATGTCTGACAAATGAAGGTCACTAGTGCCTAGACTTAGGCTTTCCCGCCGTGATTTGACTTCGCTCATGGACATTTCTCTGGGGAAATAGCCAGTGGCGGCGCTCTCGATACTTTTAAAAACGGGTGGTGATATGGGTCCAGGGCTGGGTTTCGAGCTATTACCGCTGGTGCTACTTGAGCTGTGTCTACTCCTAGCACCACGCAGTCGGGCACGTTGAAAACTCATGAGGCTGGCTTTAGCAGCAGAAAGCCCACTCATCCAATCACCGCCGGGGCTTTGAGCTGTGCTTGGAGAAAATGGTGTCGAGAACGCATTTCCCGGTCGAGCAAGATGTGGGGTCATTAGAATCGGATCTTCCCTATCGATTATATGCATGGAGTCGTCCTCATCCCCGTCGCTACTACTAGTGGTATCGGATTCGAACATGTTGACACTGCTCACGGAGCTGGATATCACAGCTCGATCACTGTTACCAATGGATTGCCAGGTGCTGCCCCCGGGTATGCCCGGAGAACCCATTCCCACCGAGTTGGTATTACTCCGGCGATTGGGAATAGCTACTCCACGACCAAGAACGACCGGGGAGGAGTCTGGCGACGATTCAGCTAGGGTAGAATGATGTAAATTCGTGCATGCGCGTGAGAAGTCCAATCCCCTGGATCGACGCGGTAATACTGAGGCAGGTGAGCCATATATGTGCGAAGAATCCAGCTTCGGGGAGAGAGGGACTCGATTCCCTGCTGCGATAGGGCTACCAAACATTCTCGAGGGCATCTGCAGTGATAGCCCATGTGTAAGGCGATCGGGTCTGTGGGGTGTCGCAGGAGCTGCAGTAACCGCTATATCATCTTTAGTTCGTTGGATGCTCGAAGGGTTCGGTGAGACGGAGGAGGGGGTTCTCGAAGATGCCTCAGAAAGAGAGCGGGCTTTCGTTGGGGACCGACTTGCAGCTGGAGTCTCAGGTCCTGTTGTCTCCTTCAATCCGGTCATCTTCTGTTGGAGCTGCTTCGTCAATTGGCTTCCAGACAGGGTGCTGGAAGAGTCTGTTAAGGCCCCAGTTTGTGCCTTAGGGGACATGGCGGTAACTTTGAGGAGAGACTCCAGGGCCGCATTCAAAACGATGAATTAAAAAGATATACAGCACCGTCGGTAGAGCCGCGGTTGTTAGGGTGGTGTCTCGTGAAGCTATGTCGTCCCAACGCCAGCGTAAAGGACCGTATGTGGTTTTAAGGCTCGATGGGAGAGGCCATGGCTAACACATATAAACGCGGGCGTGGAGAGCCAACGTCAAGATTGTCATCATTGTGATGATTCGTGGATGTCATTGGTGGGGTGTTTGGTCACTACGTGGCTTGGCAAACCATGACGAAACCCGAGTCACGTGGGGCGATCTGCTGTAGGAGGATAACGTTGTATTAGGCCACTAGGGCAAAAGAGCTCAATCACCACCAGCGCCGTGGTGATAGAGGGAGGGTACGAATCACCCAATCCAATCCCCCCAACACGTTGTTCATTGTTATTACTAAACTAACTACGGAGTACGCGAGAGCAATACAATATGTTGGGGGGCACGTGATAGGGTAGCCGTAGTACCCCCTAACATCTGCCAGACTCGGTTGTCAACAGCTTCGGGGGTGGTAGCCTTACCTTGGCGGCTGATCAACCACTTTAGGCGTCCCCGTAGTTAAAGCGCTTAACTAGAGCGCCTGGAATTGCAGTGGGTAGGATTTCATACACTCTAAAACACTGTGCGCTCCCAGGCATCGTACCTCATCTCATCAATCTTTGAGACCCAGCCTCAGAACCCCGTCCTCGTGTTCCAGCTTCAGATCATGGGTGCAAAAATTCCATTGACCGTCGCAGAAATGTAGTTTGTATACTAGCATCTACCATCGCCCACTGATCACCACCTGCTATACAGCCCAAAGCATACACGCAGGAGCAAAGCATACCTACATCTCTCTTGCGACTATGTATTCTATCACCTCCTTGATCCCCTCAAGCATAACCCTCTTCATCCTCTCTGTATCCCTTCACTATCATATTCATATCCACAAGCAAGGGCCTTTTCCCCACGTCTCCACGCTCATAAAAGTCAATAACTACATCTACTCCGTCGTTTCTCTGCTATTCTTCATCGCCCTCGTCTGTTCCTCTGAGCTCGTCACGAAATTATGTGACCTCGATGTCCTACATGCATTGCGTCATTTTGGCAGCTACGTGCGAGTCCATGATGAGCAGATGAGGCATATCTACCATCTGTCAAAAACATATGAGTATATTGATATTCTTCTCGTCCTAGCTACAGGAGGACGCATTGGGTGGCATTTCGGGTTTCATCATTTGACGGTGCGAATTTGAAAATATAAACCGGCCCCCTGATCCTTCCCCTCCCATAGTCGAACTCATTAATATAATATAATTGAATCCTGCAAAAGAACAAATCAAAAATGAAAGGTCCCTCACTAATCTTCGACCGTAAATTATCAAACCCAAAAGACCCCATACCTGACATACGTCCGCGTCCTCCGCAACCACACCGGCTGGAAACTGCTCGCCGCCCTCAACACACTCCATCACGCCTTCATGTATGCATATTTCGGCGGAGTTGCCAGTTTCAGACCGATTCTACCTTTCACGGGTTTCCTGCAGCTCATGGTCGGTTTAGTGGGCGAAGCAGTGATCGTGCATACTAAAAATAACAGTAAGTTAGTGGAAGAGGCGGTGGTCCTGTGGCCGCATATTGTTTCGGCGGCTCTGCTTGGAATGTACTTTGTTCTTTTTGCTTTTGAGCTTATGGCGTTGGCGCGGAGGCAGAAGAATGGGCGTGGAAAAGTTACAGTTGGGGTAACTGGTGATCTAGATGAGAATCAGGGTGGCATATTTGTCTCGAGGTCGGAATTGAAGACTTAAGGCCATAGTGTAGTGTAGGGAGCATTCATAGAGGGAAGGCCCAAATCCAAACAGCTTGGGTTAGGGTGTTAGAGCCGTCCGAATAATGTATGGAAATATATATAAATTCAGAGATATATCTGGCAATTTCTAGTTCACACGATTAGCATTCGGTCTTGAAGCTATCGAAACAGAACGATGTAAAAGTGATCAATAAGACACTTTGTGAAAGGAATTCGAATGACACCTACGCAAATCTGAATGAAAAAATTAAAATAATAAATAATATAAAAATAAACCCCAGTCACGCTTCAGAACCCTGCATTCAGTGGTCAGTATTCATATAAGCTGAAAAAGACAAGAATCCCATGACTCCCAAAGAAAGAAGATTCTATCCCATCAATTCGCATAACACGGGCTCATCAATCTCGTCCAGATTCTATTTCCCGCATTGTATCCCTCCGACCAAACTCCCTGGTCGGACTTCGAGTGGCTCTATCGTTGACCAAGCGCTCTTCCTCATCCCGCGCGACCCTATGAAAGCCTTCTAGTGGTATGTTCGTTCTGTTATATGGATTGTGGCAATCAACCGACAGTAGTGTCGGAAAATAGCGTCGGTAAATAGAATATGCCACCGATAACCCAAGTAATGCGCCAGCCGTCACGTCATACACGTCGTGTCGATAATCCGCTAATCGAGACATCGCAATCATCAGAGCACCTAATAACGGCGAAAGAGCGAAAAGGAAGCAGGCTAGACCTGTTCGCGGCTGGAAAACATGCAATTGGCCTGCGAAAAACCTGCCGTAAGAAAGCATCAGCACTGCTTTTCTCCCTCTTGATATGAATTAATTAAGAGCTCTGAAACAAAACACTTACATGAAAAGATATCCGAGCCCCCCAAAAGCGAAACTGCTATGTCCGCTCGGGAAACTTCTCCATCCCTCATCAAGTTGATGGGATTCAGGCGCTCCACAGACATCACTGGTAACTAACTGATGTGCGGGCGTTCCCTTTTGTGGACGACAGCGCGCAAGCAAATCAGGGCGCGGTCTACCCGCCGCATTCTTTATGATATCGGTCAGGAAGGACGTAAGGATAAGAGTGACGAGTAGGCCAAGCACGGATACATGGGCGAAGTGAGATTCCCGCCGAATCATCAGAGCCCAAAGGATTATGATGATCAAAGGCGTCACTCCCGCATATGTGATTGACCATACTTTATTTTGTAAATTGATTTTCCAGCTAGCGCATCAGTCATGTACGGCAGTTCATCTTCAACTGAGATCGTCATTTCCTGAGTCCATGAAATCATTATACTCACAAAATGGAACCCGCTCCACCAGCGCGAAAGGGAGTTGTATAGCAACATCATCCAGCGTGAACATGCGGTTAAAGGGTCGTACCCATATTTGGATCTATTGGCAAATATATCCTCAATCAGCATATACACCTATAACTACAATAATAACCCTCGCTAGGGTAGAGTATGCTATTTCATAAGCCAACAGAGGTAAAGCAAGGCGACTCACCAATATCAATCCCACGCAAAGCAATATCAAGCTCACATAGTCCGCAGCATACGACCGGCTCCAAAAGCGCACCAACGCTCCTAGGATCCCAGGGCGACTGGCGAGAGTCGAAATGGCATTATTTCTTTCAAACACACCATCTGGCATTTTCTTCGTTTAAGGTGTCCAAACGAGGGGTTCGTGGGAAGAACTAGGGTGCGTCAACTCGAAGCGCGGCCAAAGTCTGTGGTTGGATGGAGAGGAAGATTCCGCATCATAATCCCAGCGAATGGGGGATTTCGGCTAAAAAGGACAATACTGTCAACTGCTGCGGCGTGGATTAGATTTGTCTGAAGAAATATGGCGGTCAAAATTGCCTCTTTGGGTAAATATTAGTGGTTCCCTTGGCGCGTGGGACTCTATAAATACATTGTTCCGGTACCTGGTAACCACAATGGGGATAACTCTATATTCAGGATACGGAACAAGAATGAAGTCTGGTCTAGAATGAATTAAGATGTGCGCATTTCTTCAGCAGTCATTTCCGGCTTGAGTAATATTTATTTGGTTTTGTATTTTTCGTTGGTCCTTGGACTGGAAGTATTTATATCACACCCCTACTGGCCTTCTGCACCCAAGAAACCCGAGCTCTCCCGGGTTGGGCTAAACAAGGGAAAGCATCCTTCGGTTCTCGTATATAACAAGATGTTGTGAGTGGGAAAATTGATGTTAATTCTGTGGATGTACGCTTCATATCAACTTGTTGCTCACCACCTGAATCAGCTATCCGACCGTCAAAAACAATCAACAATGCCAGTTCCTACCTAACTGGCGAGGGATACTTCACCGACGCATCCATCAGCTCAATAATAGAAACAATTTGGCCCCTGCATTCGATTGGAGGCTGCATTAAGCGGTTAAAATGGGCCGTCTGGTCTCAGCCTCGCCTGATGGGCTTTTCGTCTGCCAACTATCCCCCCGCTGCCAGCTAGCCCTAAGGTGGGATCTCACTGCCCCTCCATATAGTACTATATTTAAAGTGAAGACGTTTCTCCCTCCAAATATATTATTCCATTCTGTCGTGAAAGATATATTCGGTTGGTGGCACGTCAACCAGCATGACAATCACCTACGCGGAGCAAGCCTACAGAGAGGCTTTAAAAACCTTTGAAGAGAACCTCAGCTCGCAACAATTGCGTGACGTACAGCGTCCCACCTCGTTGACCGAATTATGCAGCATTGCGACGTCGATCAATGCAAAGCATTCCTCGAAGGACGACCGCAAGACAATACGATTCACCGAGCGGGTAAGTAAAGTGCTTGGCGTGCTACAACCTTTCGATGGTATTCTGAGCAGTGTCGCCGGCGCGGATCCCTTCGGTGCTGGCAATTTGATATGGAGCTCAATCCGCTTTACCTTCCAGCTCGTGGAAGACGCACAGAGTATTTTCGACAGCGTCTTTGGGTTCTTCGAAGACATCTCACTCGAGCTAGAAATTATCCAAAAGGAGATTAACACATTCAAGGACTCGCAGCTGGTTTCCAGCGTCGGGCAGCAAGTATTCTCCGCATTGCTGGAGTTTTGGGTCTATGCGGTCAAAACGTATAGAAATTTGCGATTTGGCTCATTATCTATCAAGTCGTATTCTATCAAAGGCAAATTCGAGCAGTTACAGAGCAAACTCAAGGAGCAAACTATGTTGCTAAAGAGTGCAGCACAAGCACAGCATCATGAGAATTCAAGCCAGTTCTGGAATGCGTTTCAGCAGTCGCACCGGGGTAGTTCATTGTCCCTTTCCCTTCACGTATTATTGCTGTATGTATGTCTCGAGTAGATATAAGCTAATATGGGTACGTTACTACTAGAAAGCGACGATCAACGTGTGTTTGATTGGCTCAAAGCCCCAGACTATGCCACTGATCTAAAGAAGGCAAACTCGAGGCGACATAACGGCACCTGTGTATGGGTCATGGGTAGACAAGAATTCAAATTATGGTCTGGTTCTTCCTCTGACACGCGATTCTTAGTGATTTATGGTATTCCCGGCGCGGGAAAGACAATATTGAGCTCATTTCTAGTTGAACGGGCCCGGCGAACTTTCCAGAGCGGTACGGATCACAAGAAACCTTGCCTGACACTCTATCATTTCTTCAAAGCAGACGACGAGACGAAAAATACGCCCTTAGCCGCTGTGAGATCTCTCCTCGAACAACTCTATAGCTTCGTGCTGGAGAATAAGATTGAAAACCTGCGAACAGCGTTGCAGAATACCTCCCGTAAACGACATGTTGATTACGAGGAAATGTTAGCTGTATTTGCTAGCTCGGTTCAACATGCCGACTGCACCTTTACGATCGTTCTCGACGCCCTTGATGAGTGTGTAGGTGTTAAGCCCCTCTGTAAGGACTTGAAAACACTGGTTTCACACCCCGACATACATGTCATTGCGACTAGCCGAAGGACTGGCGAACACATGGATGTCATTAACGGACCAAGGACGATGACAATCCTAATGACTGAAGATGATGTGAAAAGAGATATCGCCTCCTTTGTCCGACACAAAGTGAACAGAATGTCAAACCTGCAATCGCCAGCCGACCGTCGCCTCAAGGCCTTAGTCATCGATGAGCTTTCCAAGAAAGAAAATCACAAAGGGATGTTTCTATGGGCATACCTGATGTGTAAAGATATCAAAATGCAAGGAAACGGGGCTAGAGTCCGCCAGGCACTTCTGCAATTGCCGGGCGATATGGTAGCGCTCTATGTGAAGATACTGGAGGGCCTGAACGCAAAGCCTCTTGCAGAACAAGACTTTGTGCAACGGGTGTTTCAGTGGGTAGTGGGAAGTATCCGGCCCTTGCGCTGGTGTGAATTAGACCAGGCACTGCAGATCGATGAGTTTCGAGGTGTCAAGTACGAGGATGACGACGACTACGAAGAGGCATATATTTATTCCCGTAGAGATGTGGTAAAAGCATGCGGTTCTCTGGTGCAATATTCAGGACTGGACGATGGAGACACTATTCGCTTGATACATTTGTCCGCAAGAGAGTTTCTGCAGCGTAAAATAACACAATCCATCACTATCCCACCTAGCCTTGCGAAGTACTTTGTCGAAGTGACGAGCTCGAATGCGGTATTAGCAACAGCATGCCTAAACGTTCTGCATGCACCCTCAGTACAGAATAATGCATATTTCCGAATTCCCAAATCTAACCACATTAGAAAGGAACTAATGGAGCTGTGCCCGCTCTTCGAATACGCGGTATTGTACTGGCCGGAATTTGCTTGCGCATTTGCTGACGCTATAGCTGCTGGTGAAAATAATATTGAACCATCCGAAGATCTTTTTGAACTCTTGGCTCTCCTTCTTGATGGACCCTGGAGCCTTTGCTGGCTCGAGGAATATATTCGTCTTGGTGGTATTGATATTGCAATGTACACTGTGGGAAGGATCCAAAACGTTGACACGAATGTCTCTCGGAAAGGTCTTGCATTCTCACACACCCCCCAACAGTGGGCCGCGCATGTTGTACATGCCCTGCACACCTTTTCAGAAACAATTTCCCATTCCCCTGAATGCATCCATACGTGCGTAGAGGCTCCCGGACGCCATGTCTCTCTGGCCACTAGCTCCAAGCCCCAACGACTGATTACCCTAGGTGCTCCAAACAATGACCTGGCAAAGAAGCAACCACTCCCGAAGGGTGAGCGTGGATGGATCGGATATAACCACAAGTCCAGGTCAGTATTCTTAGCTGATAGAAAACACGAGAACATCCGTGTAAGTCGTCGCCACCTCAGTGGAGCTACTGCCTATCGACCAGCCTTGGAAAATGGAGAAGACAACTATCAGGGAATTTGGGGGATTCGCTCTGCCCAACTGAAACAGGACGCGACATTCCTTGCAGCAACATTCTGCCCTGATGCACACGAGGAACTCTTCTATCGCACAGTGTGCTGGAGCTTGTCCAGCCCGAAGCAGATCTCCGTCACCGCCGATTGGGCTCAGGTTATTATTGTTGACCGCTCTGACTCGGAAATATTTCAGGCTGGTTCTCTGCTTGTACGGGGGAGTCTTGTTGCATTCGGTCCAAACAACTCGTTGATTACACCAGGTGGAATTTGGGATCTAGCGACAGAGGATAGACTGCCTTCGCCTGAGGAGGTTTGGAACCCTGAAAATCGGGAATCCATATCGCAGACTTGCTTCAGCTCTACTCGAGCGGCAAGGGTCCGCGACCGCCGATGGTTGGAGATCTTGGAGCTATTTGGCTCTGAGCGTTGGAACGCTGGAGACCTTACGGCGGCATTCCCGTTCTCTATTGAAGAACGTATTGCAGATGGCTGGGCTAGGATCCGCATCCGTTCCTTCAGTCGTTCAGGAGCTAAACTGATGTTAACATACTACGAGGGTAAACAAAAAAATTCAGATGCTGACTCCCTCCAGGAGTTGCATCCTAGAATTATCTGCGTCATTTTGGATGGGGAAGGCCCAACGACCGGTACACAGGTTGATTTCCCCATTCATTCTGGCACTGCACTGCTAGAATGTCAGTTTACTGAAGACGAAGAAAGGGTTGTTGGGAAGCTGCAGCCGCCCGATGACGACATAAATGCCGGAGGAGGAACATCCATTGTTGTCTGGGGACTACAGAAGAAAGGGGGGGGATATGACAAATCTGTGCAGTATCTCTACCTTTGGAAGTCCTTTGGGGATGTTTCCTTTACAATGACGCCGCCAATTTCAGCAGAGCCTAAAGGTGGCATACTGATCGCGTTTTCGGATGGGAGTGTGGCGCGCCGCTCAGTGGTAGATATATGGTCGTCAGCAGAGGATGACGAGTTGCGTGCCTCCCGGCATGCGCTGGAGGCTAGAGGCAAAGTGCTCAATTACATCACACCTGACGGAGGCAGCCTTTTTGCCATCTTCTTGACTGGTTTCCTGTTCGTCTTAATTCCCCTTCCCTTCACCTGCTGACTTGGACTGTCTCAACTGACTGTCTTTAATAGCGGGCCCTCCCCGTATTTGACAATTGAAGCCTGGAGCCTGAGCGAAGGGCAAGAGCTTTCCTGTCCCGTCGTCAAACGGCTTCTCGAGCCCTCTTCAGGAAATAACTCACTTGATTCAAACGGTCACTTTTTGCTCAGCAAGTCTGAGATTTTCGATATCAGCGATCCGACATCCCCGCAGCCACTGTCCTTCAAACTAGCCAACGGTGGTGATGCTAAAGTCACCTTTTGTCCTAACCAGCCCATTTTTGCATACACGTTTGAAGAAAACGGCAGTGTGACATTGCAACTTTATGAGGGCAAAGCGGACGGAAGCTGCGAACTTCTTCATACCCATTCCATCGTGGTGGAGCATGGGATGATTCCGCAGGACATCAAAGTTGCATTTGATAGTAGCCATTATCCGCCGCGCGTGTTTGCATACTCGTACTGGACAGTGATCGGTGAGAATATGACATTTGTCGTCTCGGTAGAGGATGACGGTAACATGAAATCTGAGCTAGTTTCGGAAGGTAACCAATCCAACCAATATTTTTTATCGTATATATTACCCATTTTCCCGCCAAGTGTATATCCGTCCGATTAATGTACTAACCCTTCTATCCTTAATACAGAATACATGGCCGACCTAACCTTCTCTCTGGACGGCAAGCACATATTCAGCGTCGACCGACAAGTGCGGCCAGAGGACATGCAATGGCCTACCCCTCTGCCCATTACCTCCCTCCCTCCAACGCCACCCACCGACAGGCTCAATAACCTGTCTCTCTCCCTCTCCATTGTCGACACTCACCCCGTCACCTTAGAGCGCGATTACTGCTTCATCGACACGGCCCTGATCTATCGTGTATCCCAAGAGGAGCGATTAGGAACCGTATATCTCGACGTGAAAAGTATTCACGAACCCGCTACCACGACAAACTGTTTCCGTAAGGCCCTGGGTATTGTCCCGGATGATTATTTGATTCGGTTGCTCGATAAAGTATTCCTGGTGTGGCCAAGGGATAGTGCGGAGGAAGTAAAAATGGTGGTTGTGCCTGGAGGGAGGAATGGTATGCCGATGATTATCCGTTCAGGGATGAGTAGTGGCGAGTTGGTCGGTATCGTGGAGAAGGCAATGTGAGGGTGAATTGACTCATATATATATTCGAGTGTTGTGTTTTCCAGAGCACAGCGGTGCCCATGGAGAACCAGTGGGACCCCTGGTCTGACGGGGAGAAGGTGGTAGTATCTAGATATTGTATCCTTTTTAAAACTGGATTAACTGCATAGTAGAATTCTATAATTCGTTTTATCTGCCACTAAATAGTACGTTCTACTGATTTATCCCACAAAATCGTACTTTGAGATTTACTCAAGTCCGTCCAGACCCTTATCTCAGTAAACTCAGGCTTTGACCCAAAGCGGCTAGCCCTATCTCGCCGGAAAATGAGCTGAAGCAACAAACAACAAAATTTGATGCAATTACGATACCCATTTCCATGATCATCTGCAACCTGAATCGAATACTCCAGAGATTTCCGTGTCAATTTCAATAAACAAACATCGTTGAAAGCTTATGTTTACACAATATGGCAGAAGCCGGACAACAAAAAGTGACCGCCGCGTTCCCGCCTCCGCCACCCTTCTGGAAACATTTCACGTCGCAGAACCTCAAGAAGCTGGATGAATGCAAGAAAGAGCACGAGGAAAAGAGTGGTTCGAAACAGATTTGGACACCTGAAGCTCTTCGTATGCTTGAACTGCCACCGGAGCTGCGATTCCTAGTCCCACCCCAAGCTCCAACGTCAAGTTCCTACTCGCTATTCGGCGAGTCGCAATCGGTATTTATATCCCTAGCCCCGGTTCTCTATTGTATTTTAGTTATTGGCCTAAATCTGTTTAATCGTGTCTTATACAGGTTTCAATAAATCTTCCCTCATTACAAGAACAAGGCATCGAGCAACTTTACCCCTCCCCGCCTTCGGGAAACGCCTTACCTGCCAATCACCGATTTTACCTCCTAAAAATCAGCAAATCCCTTCTTCTCAACTTCCTTGAGTTTATCGGCATACTCGCACTCTGCCCAGAGCGTTTCGAATCCAAAGTGCAAGACATACGAAACTTGTTTATCAACGCCCACCACCTCCTGAATTTGTACCGACCGCATCAGGCGCGAGAGTCCCTGATAATGCTGATGGAGGAGCAGCTAGACAGGACTAAGGAAGAAATAAAAGAGATGGATAGGATTAAAGTGAACGTTGAGGGTTTTCTTAAACAATTAGAGGCTGAAGGGTCAAATATTGCCAATGCAAGTTCTGCGAAGTCCGGCTCGTCTCTTAAGCAGCCCGACTCTACAGCTCAAGAAGAGGACGCCATCGAAGAGGCCAGGTCGATATGGAATTTGCTCGACCATATTGATGAAGATTGAGATACCAGTTACGAAGATAGATTTGAAAATTTCGACTATCGATAGGCCCGAGCACGTCACGGAGCCCGGAGCCGGCGCACATTTCTGCGCTACTCATAAGCCCATTAAAAACTCGCTCTAAAAGGAACTGTTGGATGGAGCTTGTCGCACTCAGTTCCGTAGGATTTACGCGTGTTTTGGGTTATCAGCATCCGCGCAACTAAGAGTTTATGCGATTCAACGGTGTACGCATAGCAAACCTTGAAAGTGTATATCAATACATGGGCTCTGATGAGAAATCTGCAGATATACTTGGACCTTGTCACGGCATTAGGGATTTTTTCCTTCTTGATCCGCTCAGTCGCGGTGTGCTATGAGCTACAAAGAATGATGTTTGGGATTGTGCGTTATGTTGGCGATGAGAATCAGCCAATCAATATCAGGAGTTGTCCGTTACATCAAGAAGGCTTTTGGGTAGAGAAAGAGCTATTGAAGTAGCCAGTTTCATTTTCTGTGCTCCAGTGACGTTTCCCTTGCAATGGTTCATGGAGAGATGCAAATGCGAAGAATAATTGAGTCATGCGTATCCTCATAGGTTTTGACTGCCGACGTATATAGGTTGGTGCAGATTTGAAATAGTTATTCATTAACTTGAGCACTTGATATCACACCAAGGCGTTGCATTTTGCCCAAGCCACGTTCAACTGTTCCGAGTTAAGAAGGGTTAGGAAGGGTACAAGTCCTTGCACTGCTCGCGGTCTCAGCAGTGATATTTTCACTCTTTAGGTGTAAGAAACACACGTAAAAAAATACTTTCTGATGTTGAAGAATGACCTTCATATCCAAAGATACTTTACTTGCATTCGAATACAAATTCAAGGGCAAACAAACTCCCGCACCCGCCCCACTAACATACATACAGTCGTCGGTGGAGCTCGTGAAGTGTGACTGACTGACATTCAATAATGAAGGGGCCGGGATATCGTTTACATAAAAGCCATATGGCCGCCCAGAAAATTCGGATTACAATATTTACTAATTTCTTTGGAAATTCTCATACTTAGGCAGATGCCATGTCCACTCTCCCTTGTGTTTCTCCCTTGTGTTTGTCTGAATCAAATCTCTGACAGTTCGTACCATTACCAAGTCCAACCAGCTTATAGAGTAGGGCTAAATATAAGGGTCTGACGCCTGGAGTTCGGTTGGCCAGTTAGAACTTCGGCGCGAAGCCCCATTTTCATGGATGATGTGCCCCGGGCTGGCATAGTTGCCACTCAATGTGTCGGTTTCATGTAGTGCATCTGTATATCTAGTCAGGCCCAGCCAACATAAATATTCAGCCCACGAGGAGAACAATTTGCCTTCTTTACCTGAGAAGGAACCCTGGGCTTTTAACAAACCATCTGTAGCTGTGGTAGTTGAGGGAGGTAGGTATGTCGGATGGTTATTTGCCAGTCGATGGCAATGACAACGACATCGACTCAAGCGCGGGATATCAGAACGGGGACAGCAAGCACAGCAAGGACGGCGACAGCGACGGGGAAGGCTTCAGCGATAATGAGAATGAAGACCCCTTCAATAGGAGGAAGAGCATCCGGTTCAACAGGAACTACTATGGCCTGGGGACTAGAATCGCCGATGTCGTCCTCCACGGAGGACACGGAGGCGACCATCTGCCTGATCATGGGAAAACGGTATGCCACTAAACTTTCCATGCTTGCTTAGATTCTACGCGGATGTGCTGGCTAAGCTCACGGTATGTCTTCGCTTAGGAGCTCACTGGCTGGGCGTCAATCTGGTTTGTACCTTTTCTACCCCCGTCTCCCTTGGGAATATCTTTGAACGACCGTGACAACCATCTAATACCTAGGGCATGAAGGCTGGCGTATCAATCCATCGGGGCTCTTTACGGAGATGTTGGCACCAACCCGCTCTATGTTTTCTCCTCGACGTTTGCGACACCCCCGCCCGGTGAAGACCTAATTGGAGTACTCTCGCTTATAACCTGGGCGTTGATACTGATTGCGACGATTAAATATGTCGGGATCGTTTTACGCGCTAATGATAAAGGCGAAGGCGGTTCTTTTGCGCTCTTCTCACTGATACAACGTTATGTTAGTTCTTCATCTGGGACGGACATCAGCCCTCAAGATTCGCCAGACGGCATGTTAGGCTAACGTCTATATATATGAATATGTATCCTGTAAACATAGGTCGACATTGATAACCAGAACCGGGACGCATCGGACTTCCTTGTAAACGACGACGAGAAGCAACTGCGGCCGTTTAATCTCAAGGCTATGAACCTGTTGAAGAGGAGTTCTAGAGCAAAGAATGTTGTTAAGGTTTTCGCGGTGCTCGGTGTTTGTATGGTGATATCAGGTATTTATCCGCCCGATGATCTAAGGATAGCTAGAACTGTGTCCTTTTGCTGATGGGTTTCATACAGACGGCGCTTTAACTCCTGCACAATCCATCCTTGCTGCTGTTCAAGGTATGTTATGCGCAATACATTCGACATGACCAGGCACATACGCTGACTTGATGGTGAAGGGCTCCAAATTGCTGCGCCGAATATTGAAACCCATACTCTGGTAGCAATTGCCTGCGTCCTGATCATTTTTCTCTTTGCTTTGCAGCCGTTCGGCACATCTAAACTGAGCAGTTATTTCACGCCCATTGTGATTGTATGGTTGATGTTCAATGTCATATCAGGGGTCTATGTATGTTTCCCTCCTGTGATGCTAGGTTTGTTACCAAACACTGAGAACAGAAAAATCGAAATAAAAATAGAACCTACTTGCCTACGATTTCTCAGTCCTGCGCGCCTTTTCTCCGTGGATGGGGCTCGATTATCTCCTTCGGAAAAAATTCGAAGGATGGAAATCGCTTGGAGGCGTTCTTCTTTGCTTCACTGGTATATCTATCCGCCGTTAGTCACGAAGTGCTAAGCATTGATTAATGATGATACAGGTGTTGAAGCTCTCTTTGCCGACCTAGGCGCATTCTCAGTCAAGCAAGTTTTAATCTGATTCTGGGAGTCACACACATTTTGCATAGCTTAATGCTAACCATGATAATTCTGCCACCAGGGCAATACGGGTCTCGTGGCTATGTTTTGCGCTCCCTTGTTTGCTCCTCACGTACTGTGGTCAAGCCGCCTTTATCAGCGTCCATCCAGAAGCGGTCGTGAACCCACTGTTCAAATCAGCGCCCCCGGGGATGTACTGGCCGCTCTTTCTGCTCTCGATACTGACATCGATTGTTGCATCCCAAGCCATGCTTACGGGGACTTTTCAACTCATGTCACAAGGCATTCGAATGGGATATCTGCCCAACATCCGGGTTGTCCACACCTCGAAGCGAGTTTCTAGCCAAATTTATATCCCTGGGGCAAACTGGCTGATGATGCTTACGGCACTTGTCGTTACTGCAGTTTTTAAAACGGTGAACCTCAGCACCCCAGCGGCATTAAGTTTCGGTGAATTGCTAACTTCCCCTTAACAGACCACAAAACTAGGCAATGCCTACGGAACATGCGTTGTCGTGGTCGGCTTTATTACCACTTGGCTCGTCGCCCTTGTATCCACTATTATCTGGAACGTCCATGTCGTGATTGTCATGCCAATATTCTTGTTTTTCGTGTCTATCGATGGCCTGTTCGTTTCGTCTGCATTGTACAAAGTTCCATCCGGTGGCTGGTTCACTATTGCCATGGCTGTAATTCTCTCAAGCACTCTCCTCGCCTGGAATTATGGTGAAGAGTGCCAACTGGAAGCAGATAGAGATGAGTCCTCTCTATCCCACGCAAGGCTATTTGGCGACACGAATGGGACGCTGTTTATCCGCGAGGGAGATAAACATATCGACGTGAAGATAATTAGAGGTATTACTATACCCCTTTGACTGTGGTAATCCGAGCATGTCTAACCGCATTCACTGGTTATTAGGAATGGGAATATTCCTCGTTGAAACCGATTTGAATTCTCCTCCGGTCTTTGATCACTTTCTGAGAACATTCGAAGCGTCTCATGAAATAACTGTTCTGCTACACATCAATCGTATCCCTAAATATCATGTATGTCCTATTTCACAGACAATGAGAGAAAACTTATGTAAAACTGGAACGAACTAACCAGGTTTCCCCCCATAAACGCAATGCAGGTTTCCCCCTCAAACCGGCTCCAAAGCTCTGCAACCCCCATCCGTGGGGTATATCGCGTCACCCTCTGTCTTGGTTACGGCGATACCATCAGCTGGGTCACCTTCGAGCAATCGTTAATAGATGAGTTGGAAATGCTGATATCCAACAATACCGCTGCCGCCCCACCCACCGACGCTGAGACTGACTGCGACCTTGACCCTCATCAAAGCCAACCACTCAAATCATCATCGCCACGGTCACCCTTTTCCTTCCAGCTCCCCAGGTCCACTTCATCCGGCGACATCCCCCTGTCAATCATGTCAACGATTCAAACCCAAGCAGACCATCACCAACACGAACGGCTCGCCCCCCCGGATCTAAAAGCCATAACACAAAAGCCCATCACGTATATAATCTGCAAGGACAAGCTGTTTATCAAGGAGGAGTCGAACTTTGTGCGCCGGGCGATACTCACGGTATTTGTGGCCGTGAGGAATCAGCAGCGGACGAAGTTATCGCAGCTGGAAGTGCCGGCTGACCGGCTGGTGGAGATTGGGTTCTCGAGGGCTGTGTAGGTTCGTTCTGACGGCCAATCCTATAACTAAATATATCGATGGAGGCTCGTGGACGGGTGGATTTGCCGGCTTTTCTTTTCTTTTCTTTCTTTCTTTCTTTCTTTCTTTCTTTCTTTTTTTCTTTCTGTCGCTGTATTTCTACATTACTTCTAGATCCTGATCACGTTCGCTTTTCAGTTCAGGGATACTGTTTTGTAGAGGTTATTATCTGTTCAACGGCATTTAGACATATATATTTGTTTTATTTAATCTTATGTTATCTTTGATTATTTTGCAAAAGGGCCTCACTCTAACTACCCAACAAACACCCCTTTTCAACTGGTTAATAATAATACTCTCCAATTCATATCCAAAACCACAGCAACGGTAATCATCACCCGGAGCGAACTCAATGAGATAGCGAAAGGCGGAAATCGACTCATCGATGCAAAAGACCTGTTGATTGCTCTTAAATAGAGATTATTCCTTACAACGGCGGATCTTCATTACGAGATACCGTTAAAAGGAATAGGAGAACCTTTGAAAAACATCCAAAAGAAGCCTGGACAAGTGGTTAGATAGATGAGTGGACCTTGATTGAGCATGAAATCAAACAGTCAGATATCGAAAGGAACTTCGATATATGGGAAGACTTCTTTCTCACCAACACAACTACCGATCGACAACCCGCAATGATACCGGATGGGAGAGGTTAAGATAGGAGCAAAATGGAGCTCTTGTTTCGCGCGGAGAGTCAATGACTTCCGTTTAGAATATATAGGGCGAAAGGATATCTGAAGCAGGATAGTCGCAAATCTAGATCATGCTTGGACAGAATACCACCAGAAGGATGGAAGGAGAATGGGATTTCGACGAAAAAACGCGACGAAGCTCCCACCAATTGTCGGAATTGGATATTACGATATACCACAAAATGCTGAATATCGATTCGAAT